TGAAATTATAATTTAGATATTAAAATTTGCATGTTTATTAGTTGATACTAAAATTTATATTAAATGTTTTGGTTTGATTTCGAATAATTTACATCTCTATCTCAGCATATAATATTTGTTACAAAAGCAGTTGTTTCATTAAAATTAATTGTCTTTGAATAATTTTTACAATATAAACACATTTTACAATATCAAGTTAATGCTGAAATAGCCACTTAACGTTTTCAACGCCAAACGTTGTCATGATCTTTGCCAAAATTTAAAACTCTTGTGCCCGTGCGTTACATTATTATTTAAAAATTTTGAAGTATTCACATTTTTGCTTGCTTTCATCTTCTTTTTTACACATTTTCTTAAGAAGTTTTGAAAATGTTTTTAAGTCAAATTATTTGTTTTATCCTCTGTTAATTGATTCAGAAGGATATTTAGTTTATAACCGCCTACTTAATTTCGAGTTTACGACTACCAATGTTCAACTCCTTAGCCTTGTAATTTTGAACCCAATCCAGAAGACAATGGAATTCCTGGATTAAGTATTGGGAGAAATTTGCCTTCATGGAGAACTTTTTGATAGAACTAACCCGCATTTGCGTTACATGCAGTGGAATAAACCTCCCACGGTTAGCCTGACGGCAAAGCTTTTCCAACCCATGATCCGCCTACCACTGAGGATATTTTATGTCTTCACTGTGGTCGGTGTTAGCCATCAATTCCTATCGATCAGCCACCGCTGGGATTCGAACCCGAGTCACCTCTTTGGGAGACGAGCGCTGTTTCCCCTGATCCACCACGACTTATTCAGAAGGATATTATCGAAATACAAATTTTATGCAGTACTATTATTTTATTTAATAAGTAAATTTGTATAATTAACTTTGGATGTCCTATTATTAACTTATAAAGCATGACGCTCTAGTTGATTCTAAAAAACAATTCACTCAGTTTTGGCTGTACTAAAAACCTCATCTTATGTATTATTGGTTACATTCATAAACTATATCACTTATTTCTCATTTTCTATAATTTAAAAGAAAAATAAGATTTCATTATTTAACTTAAAGTGTTATTTTGAATGTATTTTTGTGAACATACTTTAAAAAAATTTTATTAAAATTAGTAAAAAAAATTTTTTTTTATAATAGAAATGCACAGATATATTTTCAATAATTTAAAGGCATATTTTTTTATATAAGTGCATAATAACAAAAAATAGTCAAATAGTTTTAAAATAGGTCAAAATTTTTTATTTATTATCATTATTTTATTTTATTTATTTAGTAAATATTATTATTTTTTTTTTATTTATTTAGTAAATATTATTATTATTTTGCGAAGAGGTGTTGAAAATTTTCGAATATGCTAAGTGCTATCGAATTTCTACAGATAGACTGGGCGTCTAACTTAATCCTATCGTATGCTATAAAATTTTCAAGGCTGTTTAAAGTCGATTATTCATTAAGCAATTAAATACTTTTTATATCTTTCCCTTGTGTGTTTTAAAACAATAGACCGGAAATATTGTTTAATCGCCTCCTTATTTATGAGTTTGCTATTAATAATTAAAACGATCGTTAAACCAGTTGTTTGTTCATGTTTAATGTGTTCAATAGACATTAACTTGTATTAAATCCCATTCTTGATCAAAAGCCATTCTCTATATGCTTATTTTTTTAACAGTATTGCAAATAAGTTTTCAAAGTAATGGAATGAAATAAAAATTTTTGAAAACTGTGTTTTTCAAGTGGATTTATAGAGAAAATTTATTCCATATATTTGAAACTGAAAACGAAAGACGTTGTGTGCGTTTAATTTAAAACAGAGTTGGGTTCTTGCCGTCAAAAACTGGTTTTTGACATGACAGTGGTAAAAACCGTGTTTTTACCGTCAAAAACCTACTGTTTTCTTTCATTTATGGCATATAACGGACAATAAATTATTTTCACTGAATTGCCTTTATAAATGAATGTTGTAAATGATTGCTATTGAATTTGCAACAATATACATGTTTTCATATAGAAGGATATGCATTCATACAGAAATATTGTAATATACTTATTGAAAATAGTGATACTTAACTTTCATCATTATAGCTTGATTTGCAAAGGATTCAATTTTGCACTTTCTAATTGTTAGAAATAAACAAACAAACAAAAAAACTTGGAACTATTAATAAATTCAAGAACTAAAAAGAAGAATTTAAAATTTGGTATTTCTTAAATATTAAAAATAAGCTAAAAACACTTTCAGAACTTGTAACTACTAACAAACTCTAAGTCAGGAATGACTTCACATTCTTCAGTAATGTAATATGCCAAACAAAATGATGCTTGGAAATGTTGAAAATTTTGTTTAGTATCCTAATATTTTACTTCAAATAGTATGNAAAATTATATTCTTTAAAATGGTGCAAAAATGTTATACCTTACAGTTCAAAACATTTTCTACCATTTTAAAATAATATAATAAAAAAATAAATAATTACTAAAAGTTATTTTTTACATGGAGTTATCTTTGGATAAATTAATTTTATAATTGCGTGTAAAAATATTTCAAATAACGTGTAAAAATATTTAAAATCGCGTTAAAAGTTCTTGAGATATAGCGAAATGCGCAAAAAGTGAAATTAACATTAAAGGATCCCAACTTTGAAAAGCTCTCCCGATCAAACTATTGGGACTATATTTCCCAGATTGCGGCTAGTCCCTATATTTTTGAGATCATTAATTCGAATTTGCTGAAAAAAGGTACGTTTTTGTGTCTGGTTTTGTAACTTAAAATATCGTCTATATTTGAGGTCACCCTCTCGAATCATTAAGATTGAGCCCTAGAACGTGAAAATCTGAACATTAGATCAAAAGTTATTCAGGGTGGTCTCTTTTTTTCTTTCTTTTTTTTCCGCCCTGTGCATACGTTCCGTTTAAGTCAGCCATTTCGATTTTAGCCTAACAAAAACAGAACTATTTTCTGCTCTTTAATGTACTGGAAGAAAATAATTAACCTTTTTTTTTTTAATTATCTGTCTGTCAGATTGTTTTCGGAAACTCGCTGAAATTGTGATTGGCAATAAAATTGCTAATCATTTTGTTAGCACCCTTTAGGGAAAAGAATGCAATTAACATCCAGCACACAGAGTATCAGTTGTAATTCAAACTAACTAGCTAGACGAAAGGAGGTTCTATGTAAAAAAAAGCGAAAAATTTGCTTACCGTCGTGTTTAAGAAAATGTTTTCAACTTAGTTTGTCATCAGCACAAAGTTCCATTTTGGTGATAATATAGTGATAGATCGTGTATGTAGTGGTTAAGTAACTATTGAAACTTCATCAGGCACAAAGTTACAGTTAAAATTTGAGTTGGACGATATTTTTATTGATGATAATTTCTATGTAGTATTACAATAAATTATGCTTGCAGCGAACAACTAAATGTTGCGTTGTAGTATGGTGTAATTGGAATTTGAACCCTTTAATTAATAAAATAGATTCAGTTTGAAAATAATATGGAGATGATTTTTTTCTTTTGTAGCTATCATGAAAACACTGAAACTTATATTATGCTGAAACATAAAAATTCAGGTGAAACTTGATCAATTAAACTAGTCGTGTTGTTGTTGTTGACGTATGCCTGTTTAGACAGAGGGGGGTGCGATTGTTCTTGTTTTCCAGTGGCGCCATCTATAGCCAAGAATTCGACTTCTGCCACACCATACCTCGCACCCGTTTATAGGGTAGACCCATTCATTCCTCCACAGATCGTAATTTTGACCTGAATCAGAGAACGATCGATCTCCAATCCAGTACCCCTAGAGGTACTGATTTGTTATGGGAACATGGAGGTCTTTTGCGACTCAACAGATTTAACGTGCATCAGTCACTTTATTACACGGGGGAGTCTTTGGCCGGTGGGGTTTGAACCCACTAACTCTCGGACATGGGCCCAGCACCCTACCGACCAGGCTATCCCGGCCTATACTAGTCGTAAATTGCTTGAAAAAATGTTTTTGATTATAATTTCGATTCGACTATAATATGAAATGATGGAAATTTGTTTTTGCCACGCAGCAAGTATCGTGTACACTTTGAATTTCAGCATTTTGTTCGCCGATAAATTTTGTTTTTAGTAACCATAAAGAGATTGGAACTTGTGATGTCATACAGCTTAGAGCTCCACGTAAAATTTGAGTGATCCAGCCAATTGTAAGTAAACTAAACTCAGTGGCGCGACAGCCCATAGAGGGCCAAGGCCTACTGTGCCCATCTCAGTTTTCTTGACATTGGGCTCTGGGGTGCAGGAGCAGATGTTCCGGTCAGGTGGTCAGCCGAACACGGAACTCCCAGTGTTTACTTCCCAAGCATGCTTGGTACTCATTTATCGACCCACTGAAGGGATGAAAGGCTGAGTCAACCTTGCCCGGCCCGAGGATCGAACCAGGGACCTGTGGCATGACAGCGCGAAGCGCTACCGCTCAGCCACCGGGCGTCAACCCAGCCAATTGTAAAGTAGGCAGAATTTAGATGGATTATAAATTATCTTTGGTGATAACATCACGATATATTGTGCTTGCATTAGCTAGGAAACGATTATAACTTGCGGTGTTATCGGGCGTGGAGCTATAGTTGAGATTTTAGCATCTAGCTAGTCGGAAAGTTCACGATATTTATTTCGCAAGATTTACAGCCATGTCCGCCCTATAAACGGGTGAGACGTATGGTGTGGCATAAGTCTAATTCTTGGCCATAGATGGCTTCACTGGAAAACAAGAACAATCACGCCCCCTCTGCCTAAACAGGCATACGTCAACAACAGCCATGATAAATAAAAACAAAGAGTCAATAGATTATTTAATAAATTATTGAATAAATGTTATTAAATAAATAAATATTTAAATAATAAGCAATTATATATATGAAACGAAGAACTAATTTAAAATAGCTCAATTCTTTCAATAAAGGAATTTGTCAGTATTTAACTGCAACTTTAACTATTTTGTCTCAATTTCCAGAACTCAGAAGAATATGACAGTATTCAACTTTGTAGCATGAGTGAACTGTTGGAGATATATTATCAAATGCTGAAATCAGAAATGAGTGTTATTGTGAAAGACATAAAATTAGTAAGTATTTATTGTATATTTTCGATTTATCTTGAATGCTGTAAACTCAATTATAATTCATACGTTTTTGTTTCCATAAAAGAATAGTTTCGATGGAAAATTACAAGATAAGTACTCATCATTATTGGTAGATTTTTCAAAGAAGCATGAAATAACGCCATTTTCTCAATCCCTTGCGTAAGTATCAATTTAAATTCTTACTCTAGAAACTAGATTATTATCATCTTATAAAGTATACATAAAAAAAAAATAATTTTGTAATCTAATAATTTTTAGGATGTCCTAAAAACTTCACTTTCAATACTATAATTTATGTAACTGTGCTGACTGATGCATGTTGAATCTGTTGAGTCGCAAAGTCCTCCATGTTTCCATACCAAAACAATACCTCAGGGGGTACTGGATTGGAGACCGATCGTTATCTGATTCAGGTCAAAATTACGATCTGTGGATGAATGAATGGATGTATGAATAGTCCGCCCTATAAACGGGTGCGACGTATGGCGTGGCAGAAGTCGAATTCCTGGCCATAGATGGCGCCACTGAAGAACAAGAAACGCACACTGTGCCTTAAATTTGCTCGGTTTCACCAAGCAGGCTTGCCTGTGTGGCAAGTCGCATTAGAAGCAACGACAACAATGTAACTGTTCATTGAAAATTGCACATAATTTCTTCAAATTGGATATGGCATAAAAATATTTAATGGCAAAATACATCCAAAATTAAATGTTAAGGATTCAAATTTCGGTCATTTAATTAGCCTTGAAATATTTACTCTCTGAACTTAAACATATTATGTTTGAACTTAAACATATGAACATTAAATATGTTTTCTTCTTCAAAGTCACTAATCGCTAAGCCTTTTTTTATTGTATCTGTAACAGAGTCTAATGAGGCTAACTATCTTGCCATTTCGCTCGAAAAATGAAGTAGCTCAGAGGACTTTATTATCACTGTTAAATTGAAGAGATGTCAAGTTTAATATTCAAAGCATGCAACTTTCTGACGTCATGGATGATGTTACGGTCGGCTGCAAGTGTAGAGTTAGATTGTCTGTAAAATAAAAAGCTAATACAAAAATAAATTAGGTGACATATTTTAGCTTTAGCATGAGGAATTTTTTTTCCCCATTTTCAAATCACCTGATGTACGAACTTCTCGAGATAAATTAGTGTTCTGTATTTACAAGTAACCACAACGTGTTCTTAAGGCTGTTTTTCTACGGCTGCGTCGTTTTTTTTTCTGTGTGCAAATAATATGCTATTTTTATAACTGCTGCGAGTTTGCAACTGTTACCCATGACTGCTAGGTATAACATAGAAGTTTAGTATAACTCAGAATTTTTTTAAAAAAAACACCGTGCTAATTAATACACCCCCTTATTAGAGATAAAATTAGATAGAAATCTGAAATCTATTAGCATATTAAGAGATATTTTAAAAACGCACTGTACGAAAATGTATACTCAAATTTTACGAAACCGTTTAACAAGAAAACATTTCGCAAAATTGGAAAACATGCTAAGTTCCATTATTTAAGGATACGAATTTCGTCAATAGCATTAGGCTTAACGAAACATGTCGGGTAACACAAATGATTATGAAAAACAACTTTAAATACAAAGAGTATGAGTGTGCCATCGCCAGTATCTCAACCTGGGACTTTTTTTTAACCAGAGAGCGCATAAAGGCACATATATTCTATCCCGTTACAAAACTACAAATGCAGGTAAAATAAATTTCTTGAAAATAGGCTGCCATATCATAGTGGATAAAAGAAAGCTACAACGTCTTCTAATTGACATTAATCTAGGCTACATTTCCTGTATAATTTATTTACTCAATTGATCGTTACCATAGAAACAACAGTCAGTGTTGTAGTTGGAAAANTCTAAGTTGTGTTTGTTAAAGACCATATAAACGTTTTACGTGGGATACTATGACAACAACATTGACGGACGAGATCTATTTTATAACAGATTGCACACCTGCAAATACAATGAAATGCAGCTGTTTTCACGTTGGAATTAAAACTGGAATGTAAGATATTCTTGTTTCTAAAAAAGAGTCGTATACCAGTTTGAACTAAGCAATAGGTATGAAAACATAGTTTCCTCTTTCAAGAAATATTTATACCTTACTAATTATTTAACTTAGTAGTTAGTTTTTTTAAAAATTAATTTTATCACGTTTTTATTAACTCGCTTCTTTAAGTATGGAATTTTGCGACTGAAATTTCGACCATTTCTTGTCTAGCTAGAGGGCTCAAATATCTACTAGAGCTCCTTGTCTGATAACTATACAAGTTTTAAGCGTTTCTGGAACTCTATATGTCGTATTTATTTTATTTTAAACCGACCGTTAAGCAGCTGACCTAATTCTGAGTTTACGACTATCAGTGTTCAACTCCGTAGCCTTGTAAATTTGAACCCAACCCTGATGACAAGAGAACACCTTGATCAAGCTAAACTAACCTCCATAAAGGACTTTTTTGATAAACCTAACCTGCATTATTGCTTTACATGGAGAGGAAAATCACGATAGCATCCCCCGGCTAGCCCGACGGCAAGTAGATTCTAACCCATGATCCGTCAACAGTCAAGGATATTTTACGTCAACACTGTGGTTGGTGTCCACCAACCACAGTGTCACACTTATCCTATAGGATCACCTCATTGGGAGGAGAACACTTATCCCTTAGGCCACAACAGCTAAAGGAGAATTTTAATCTCACATAATAATTTATCGCCGATGAAGGTTTGACCATTTTCCAACTAGCTAGAAGACTCAAATTTTAACCGGAGCTCCTAGCTTCAGAGTTTCAACCGTAACTTAATTGCTACAAGTAAAATTTGTAGCTATATTATGGTCTGTAAGAGTTTATTATTAACTTTTTTTTCCCATTTTCCAACTAGATACAAATGCTCAAATTTCAACCTAAACTGTGAGCCTGATGTTGTAATTAAGAAATATATTGCAGCTGGAGCTAATTTATGTAGTTTCCTTCCCTCAAATATTTTGTCCCATTTTTAACTTCATTTCATTCTTTTTCTATTTAAGTTGTGTGTGAATAAATAAATAAAAGGTCTTTTTAAATTAAAGATAGCATATTAAATAATAATAATGTCTTAATTAAAGTTTTTAAGTCCAATTTTGATTGTGTAAGATTGAAGTAAAGAAAAAAACTGCTGTCGGAATCGGATTGTTAAATATACATTTCATCTATCCCAGTGGTTTCCAACTGGCAGCCCGGGGGCCGCATCCGGCGCGCTAAGTCTCTTTTTGCACCCGCGAACTAAAATATATTAGTTGTCATTTTTTTGCGGACAATTTTCGTAAAAAATCTAGATGGGTTTAAAATACTTTTCTCGTAAATAAAAACCTAATTTCTCCGTTTCTGTGAAATTTAACATACCAACGGTACAAAAAAATTTATTTCTCAGGTTTTGCATCCAAGAAAATATTTATTCAAAGCAAAAATAATCGTGTATGTTACTCTTTTTTACTTCATTCATAGCATGTGTGTATCAGAAATTTTCTCGAAGAAATTCTCCGATTTAACTTTTTGAAACCGCTCATTTCGAACGAAAATATTTACATCCGTAAATTTTAAATTTAAAATGTAAATATCTATTCTCTGTTGGTTGCAGCAGACGAACCTCAATTTTCTCATTGAACATTTTGGGGTCCTACTATGTAAGTTTTAATACCAACCTTTTTAAAGTTTTATATCTTAAAAATTTGATATCTGCTGCACATTAATTGTTCAATACATAGGTGCACATTAAAGTTATTGTATCCCGAATTGTTTACTATGCAATTAAATAATTTTAAAAATCTGCTTCTTATTTTAATTTGTAATTTAATACTTTTGTTTTGTACAACTTTGTACAAATCTGACAGTAATATTTCATGCTCCTTCAAACATAAAAGAGTCCTACATAAAATTTTGATGAAGTTGCGGCCCGCCATTTGATTTGTGTTTTTAATTGTGGCCCCCGGCCTCATGTAAGTTGGAAACCCCTCATCTATCCCATACGTTCCCAACGTAATTGCTAACGTTCCCCAGTGGGCAGATTTCTAGGGGGCGGTCGCAAGACTATAGGTATTTGAGGGATGTTAGGAATATCTCGCGAGAAATAAACAAACTAAATATACAACCATAATTTAGATGATATTAAAATTTATATGTTTATTAAATGATATTAAAATTTATATTAAATGTTCTGGTTTGATTTCTAATAATTACTTACATTTCTATCTCAGCATATAATATTTGTTACAAAAGCAGTCATTTTATTAAAATTTTCTTTGAATAATTTTTACAATATAAACACTTTTTACAATAACAAGTTAATGCTGAAATAGCCACTCTACGTTTTCAATGCTAAACGGTGTCGTGATCTTCGCCAAAATTTAAAACTTTTGTGCCCGTGCGTTAAATTAATATTTAAAAATTTCAGAGTATTCACATTTTTGCTTGCTTTTATCTTCTTTTCTACACATTTTCTTAAGAAGTTTTGAAAATGTTTTTAAGTTAAATTATTTGTTTTATCCTCTGTTTAGAAGGATATTTATTTTATAACCGTCGTTGAACAGCCTACTTAATTTCGAGTTTACGACTACCAATGTTCAACTCCGTAGCCTTGTAATTTTGAACCCAATCCAGAAGACAATGGAACACCTGGATCAAGTATTGGGAGAAATTTGCCTTCGTGGAGAACTTTTTGATAGAACTAACCAGCATTTGCGTTACATGCAGGGGAATAAACCTTCCACGGTCAGCCTGACGGCAAAGCTTTTCTAACCCATGATCAGTCTACCACTGAGGACCATGTCATCACTGTGGTTGGTGTGAGCCATCAATTCCTATCTATCAGTCACCACTGGGATTCGAACCCGGGTCACCTCTTTGGGAGGCGAGCGCTATTTCCCCTGAGCCACCATGACTCATTCAGAAGGATATTATTGAAATACAAATTTCATGCAATACGATTATTTTATTTAATAAGTAAATTTGTATAATTAACTTCGGATGTCCTATTATTAATTAATGACTCTCTAGTTGAATCTAAAAGACATTTCACTCAGCTTCGGCTGCTGGTTACATTCATTAACTATATCCCTTATTTCTCATTTTCTGTAATTTAAAAGAAAAATTAGATTTAATTATTTAATTTAAACTGCAAAGTGTTATTTTAAATGTATTTTTATGAACATACGTTAAAAAAATTTCATTAAAATTAATAAAAAAAATTTTTTTTAATAGAAATGCGCAGATATATTTTCAATAATTTAAAGGCATTTTTTTATAGATGTGAATAATAACAAAAATTTTAAAAGAATTAAAATGGGTAAAATTTTTTTATTTATTATTATTTTATTTTATTTATTTAGTTAATATTATTATTTTTATTTCGCGAAGAGGTGTTGAAAATTTTCGTATTCGCAAAGTGCTATCGAATTTCTAAAGATAGACTGGGCGTCTAACTTAATCCTATTGTATGCTATAAAATTTTCAAGGCTGCTTAAAGTCGGTTAATCGTGAAAGCAATTAAATACTTTTTATATCTTTCCTATGTGGGTTTTGAAACAATAGACCGGAAATATTGTTTAATCGTCTCTTTATTTATGAGTATGCTATTAATAATTAAAACGATCATTAAATCAGATGTTTCTTCATGTTTGATATATTCAATAGACATTAACTTGTATTAAATCCCATTCTTGATCAAAAGCCATTCTCTATATGCTTATTTTTTAACAATGTTGCAAATAAGTTTTCAAAGTAATGAAATGAAGTAAAATTTTTTGAAAACCGTGTTTTTCAAGTTGATTTATAGAGAAAATTTATTCCATATATTTTGGACTGAAAACAAAAGACAGTGCGCAAAAAAAAATAAAAAAAACTGACTACTTTGAGTAATTTTTGATCTAATGATCGGATTTTCACCTTCTAGAACTGAGATATCAAACTTTAAGCATCTGACGTTTTTGAAAATCAAATTTCGCAGGAACTATTCGACCCATTTTTCTCAAATTTTGTATTTTGCTATAAAAAATTATATTCTTTAAAATGGTGCAAAAAATGGTATACCTTACAGTTCAAAAAATTTTCTACCATTTTAAAATAAAATAATAAATAATTACTAAAAGTTGTTTTTTGCATGAAGTTATCTTTAGATAAACGAATATTATAATTGCGTGTAAAAATTTTTCAAATCGCGTAAAAAGTTCTCGAGATATAGCAAATGAAATTTTGTATTTTGCTATCAAAAATTACATTCTTTAAAATGGTGCAAAAAATGTTATACCTTACAGTTCAAAAAATTTTCTACCATTTTAAAATAAAATAATAAAAAAAATAAATAATTACTAAAAGTTATTTTTTGCATGGAGTTATGTTTGGATAAACTAGTTTTATAATTGCGTGTAAAAATACTTCAAATCGCGTAAAAAGTTCTCGAGATATAGCAAAATACGCAAAAAGTGAAATCTACATTAAAGGATCCAAACTTTCAAAGGCTCTCCTGATCAAACTATTGGGACCATATTTCCCAGATTGAGGCTAGCCCCTATATTTTTGAGGTCATTAATCTGAATGTGTTGAAAAAAGGTATGTTTATTCAGAGAAAGTACGTTTTTGTGTCTGGTTTTGTAACTTAAAATATCGTCTACAATTGTTAATATATTTGAGGTCACTCTCTCGAATCGCTAAGATTGAGCCCTAGAACGTGAAAATCTGAACATTAGATCAAAAGTTATTCAGGGTGGTCCCTTTTTTTTCCGCACTGTACATGCGTTCCGTTTAAGTCAGCCATTTCGGTTTCAGCCTGACAAAAACAGAACTATTTTTTGCTCTTTAATGTACTATAAAAAATAAATTTTTTTTTTACTTATCTGTCTGTCAGTTTGCTTTTGGAAACTCGCGAAAATTGTGATTGGCAATAAAATTGCTAATCATTTTGTTATCATCCTTTAGGGAAAAGAATGCAATTAACATCCAGCACACAGAGTTTCAGTTGTAATTCAAGCTAACTAGCTAGACGAAAGGAGGTTAAAATTTGTATTAATGATGAATTCTGCTTTCATGTCAAAAAGGCGAAAATTTTACTTACTGTGTTTAAGATAATGTTTTCAACTTAGTTTGTCATCAGCACAAAGTTCCATTTTGGTGATAATATAGTGATAGATTGTGTCTGTGGTGGTTAAGTAACTATTGAAACTTCATCAGGCACAAAGTTACAGTTAAAATTTGAGTTGGACGATATTTTTATTGATGATAAATTCTATGTAGTATTACAATAAATTATGTTTGCAGCGAACAACTAAATCTTGCATGGTAGTGTGGTGTAATTGGAATTTGAACCCTTAAATTAATAGAATACATTCAGTTTGACGATAATATGGGGATGATTTTTTTTCTTTTGTAGCTATCATGAAAACATTGAAACTTATATTGTGTTAAAACATAAAAATTCAGGTGAAACTTGATCAATTAAAATAGTCGTGTTGTTGTTGTTGACGTATGCCTGTTCAGACAGAGGGGGGGTGCGATTGTTCTTGATTTCCAGTGGCGCCATCTATGGCCAAGAATTCGACTTCTGCCACACCATACGTCGCACCCGTTTATAGGGCAGTCCCATTCATTCCTCCACAGATCCTAATTTTGACCTGAATCAGAGAACGATCGATCTCCAATCCAGTACCCCCAGAGGTACTGATTTGTTATGGGAACATGGAGGACTTTTGCGACTCGACAGATTTAACGTGCATCAGTCACTTTATTACACGGGGAGTGTTTGGCCGGAAGGGTTCGAACCCACTAACTCTCGGACATGGGTCCAGCGCCCTACCGACCAGGCTATCCCGGCCTAAACTAGTCGTAAATTGCTTGAAAAAATGTTTTTGATTATAATTTCGATTCGGCTATAATATGAAATGATGGAAATTTGTTTTTCCACGCAGCAAGTATAGGGGTACACTTGTAATTTGAGCATTTTGTTTGACGATAAATTTTGTTTTTAGTAACCATAAAGAGATTGGAACTTGTGATGCCATACAGCACAGAGCTTCACGTAAAATTTGAGTGCTACAGCCATTTGTAAAATAGGCAGAGTTTTGATGGACAATAAATTATCTTTGGTGATAACATCACGATATATTGTGCTTGCATTAGCTAGAAAACGATTATAACTTGCGGTGTTATCGGGCGTGGAGCTATAGTTGAGATTTTAGCATCTAGCTAGTCGGAAAGTGCTCGATATTTATTTTGCAAAATTCACAGCCATGATAAATAAAAACGAAGTCTTATTCAATAGATTATTTAATAAATATATTTATTCAATAAGTAATTAAGTAGTATGATAAAATGAAAAACTAATTTAAAATTGCTCAATTCTTCCAATAAAGAAATTTGTCAATATTTAACTGCAACTTTAACTATTTTGTCTCAATTTCCAGAACTCAGAAGAATATGACAGTATTCAGCTTTGTAGCATGAGCGAACTGTTGGAGATATATTATCAAATGCTGAAATCAGAAATGAGTGTTATTGTGAAAGACATAAAATTAGTAAGTATTTATTGTATATTTTCGATTTATCTTGAATGCTGTAAACTCAATTATAATTCATACGTTTTTGTTTCCATAAAAGAATAGTTTCGATGGAAAATTACAAGATAAGTACTCATCATTATTGGTAGATTTTTCAAAGAAGCATGAAATAACGCCATTTTCTCAATCCCTTGCGTAAGTATCAATTTAAATTCTTACTCTAGAAACTAGATTATTATCATCTTATAAAGTATACATAAAAAAAAAATAATTTTGTAATCTAATAATTTTTAGGATGTCCTAAAAACTTCACTTTCAATACTATAATTTATGTAACTGTGCTGACTGATGCATGTTGAATCTGTTGAGTCGCAAAGTCCTCCATGTTTCCATACCAAATCAATACCTCAGGGGGTACTGGATTGGAGACCGATCGTTATCTGATTCAGGTCAAAATTACGATCTGTGGATGAATGAATGGATGTATGAATAGTCCGCCCTATAAACGGGTGCGACGTATGGCGTGGCAGAAGTCGAATTCCTGGCCATAGATGGCGCCACTGAAGAACAAGAAACGCACACTGTGCCTTAAATTTGCTCGGTTTCACCAAGCAGGCTTGCCTGTGTGGCAAGTCGCATTAGAGGCAACGACAACAATGTAACTGTTCATTGAAAATTGCACATAATTTCTTCAAATTGGATATGGCATAAAAATATTTAATGGCAAAATACATCCAAAATTAAATGTTAAGGATTCGAATTTCGGTCATTTAATTAGCCTTGAAATATTTACTCTCTGAACTTAAACATATTATGTTTGAACTTAAATATATGAACATTAAATATGTTTTCTTCTTCAAAGTCACTAATCGCTAAGCCTTTTTTTATTGTATCTGTAACAGAGTCTAATGAGGCTAACTATCTTGCCATTTCGCTCGAAAAATGAAGTAGCTCAGAGGACTTTATTATCACTGTTAAATTGAAAAGATGTCAAGTTTAATATTCAAAGCATGCAACTTTCTGACGTCATGGATGATGTTACGGTCGGCTGCAAGTGTAGAGTTAGATTGTCTGTAAAATAAAAAGCTAATACAAAAATAAATTAGGTGACATATTTTAGCTTTAGCATGAGGAATTTTTTTTCCCCATTTTCAAATCACCTGATGTACGAACTTCTCGAGATAAATTAGTGTTCTGTATTTACAAGTAACCACAACGTGTTCTTAAGGCTGTTTTTCTACGGCTGCGTCGTTTTTTTTTCTGTGTGCAAATAATATGCTATTTTTATAACTGCTGCGAGTTTGCAACTGTTACCCATGACTGCTAGGTATAACATAGAAGTTTAGTATAACTCAGAATTTTTTTAAAAAAAACACCGTGCTAATTAATACACCCCCTTATTAGAGATAAAATTAGATAGAAATCTGAAATCTATTAGCATATTAAGAGATATTTTAAAAACGCACTGTACGAAAATGTATACTCAAATTTTACGAAACCGTTTAACAAGAAAACATTTCGCAAAATTGGAAAACATGCTAAGTTCCATTATTTAAGGATACGAATTTCGTCAATAGCATTAGGCTTAACGAAACATGTCGGGTAACACAAATGATTATGAAAAACAACTTTAAATACAAAGAGTATGAGTGTGCCATCGCCAGTATCTCAACCTGGGACTTTTTTTTAACCAGAGAGCGCATAAAGGCACATATATTCTATCCCGTTACAAAACTACAAATGCAGGTAAAATAAATTTCTTGAAAATAGGCTGCCATATCATAGTGGATAAAAGAAAGCTACAACGTCTTCTAATTGACATTAATCTAGGCTACATTTCCTGTATAATTTATTTACTCAATTGATCGTTACCATAGAAACAACAGTCAGTGTTGTAGTTGGAAAAAAAATTGGAGGAGCTCACCTTTTTACAGGATAAATGTGTCAGAGTGTTGCCATGTCATTATTATTGGTCAAAAAAGCGACCTGTTTAAATTACTTGATCAGCTTTAATACTTAAAAGACTTTCATTTTTTTTTTTAAAAAAAAGGCATTTGCTGCTAATAAGCATTATTTTTATCTTTGATGCATTCAACAAAAATGCTATTGATAAAATAATTATATTGAATAAGTGAGTGCACAATTCTACATTAGCATTTTAAAAGTACTATGACTATTTATTTGTTAAACACACTGCTTTGATAGCAAGAAGGTAAAAAATGTATAGATTCATGTACGCAAAAAATCATACAGATTTGTTTTGTTAGAGTTAACAATAAGAAAAGTTCACATTTGTAATAGCTTATGTTACTCATTTTTTAGTGTCTTTATTCGAATATTAAGTAAGTTAACTCTATGAGCATCTCCTTTTTATTACTCGAACATAATTATCTGCTCTTAAACTAGTTCCTTTGCTTACCAGATTATAAACTATGTAAGACAGAGTTATAAAGAAATATAATTTCATTTAATATTCATAAATTTACAAACCAGGTGAAATTAATTAAAAGTAACTTTATGTAAGGATTTTGTTTTCATTAAATACTGGTGAATCCAATTTCAATATTTACTTTAATTACTTAGCTTTTCTTCGAAATTTTTTAAGCACTCTATACATTTCTGAAATTACATTCTTTTACAGGATTATTCTCATTGCTTGTGATTACAAATGAATCTGAAAATTACACTAATCAGATTTAAAAGTTCACTTGCTTTTGTTATTTTGCAGAGAGCTATTAACTCTTCTCGAGTGGAAAAACGAGAGAAACAACCCACAAGTTGAGGATTCTGCTGTTTATAATTCATTGTTGCAATTGGAAAGAGTTGCAAAGTATACTTCATCCTGGGAATTGTTTGAGAAAGAATGCACGGGTCCTTTAATAGATATTTCGACATTCGAGGTACATTTCTTATTTTAACTTTTTAACATGACAACTTATAAACTTATTGTGTACCGTTACTGTAAATAATCCGTATGTTTAGAGGTGCATATCCCCTCTCAACGCTGACAGAAACAACCCCTACCCCCAATGATGCCTTTTTATTAGGTCTTTTCTCTACCTTGAGATATTTTAACTTTGGAAGTACGACATCCATGGTGATATTACTTTCCAATTCTATGTTAACTTGTCTAACGAAATGTAATTATTTCCACGGAGTTTAACCAATACCTCCCAGGAAAGAGAAAGCCTCAGCACGAGTTACCATGAACAAGAAATTTGATCCTTTAGTAGTCCAAACGTAGAGACATTTTTCTTATTTTTTTTTATCCACTACGCAGTTTAAGTTCGTTTCGTCAGACTACTAAATTCAGCCGTGCTGAGGCCTTCTTTCTTCTAGGAGGTGTGGGTTTAACTCGTAATAAACGCGAAAGTAATAAATTTCGTTTTCCTTGAAAAGAGACATGATTCGTTTTCTCAAATTTAAATAGTTTTTTTTTTCTTTTTAAATTTTGAATTGAAATTTTTTTCCGAGACTTGAACTTAATAAATTCTAAAGAGTTTGCTATTTAATATGACCAAAAATATTTGTAAATAAAGTTAAATTAATAAAAAAAATTATTAAAGCGTAAAAGCTAATGTGAAATAAGCGTGAGAAACGATCCAGATTGCGAATAACTGTTATGGGGTTTGGTAAGCAATAGGGAGGTGGGGGATCTCTTATTGTACTAAATTAAAAGTAGTAGGCGTTGAATGTGGTTTATAGAATATGAAACGGACATTCCTCGGGTACTTAAGGAATACATCTTAAACGCTGATGAACGTCATAAAAAGTAATAAAAACGAGTTTTATGTTTGACATGAGACATTTTTGAGATAGCATAATCTTACAAGAGACGCTGTTTTAATCCCTTTCAAAGCATTTCTTTCTTTTAAGTTGATACCTTTGTCTGTAATTCACTGTGATTCATTTTATGTTACAAAATATGATTGGAAACTAAAACAGTAAGTGTGAAATTTTCAATATGATGGCTGAAAATTAACTTTTAACTTAAAAATATGTAACTTTTATAGGAAGGTAAACTCGTGTTATAAAATATAAATTTTTTAAGACATTTACAGTTAATTGATATTTTGTACATAGATTATATTTTTTACATAATTTTTGATAATGATTGATATAAGATAATTGATATAATTTTGATAATAATTGTTATTTTTTGCATGATTTTTTGCATTACATTAATTTTTACATAAATAATAATTTAGCATTTTTTATCATTTTTACATATTGTAAGATAATTTTATAGTGTATTTCTTGACCGTTTTTGTCACGACAAAAAATCCGCTAAACTCAAATAATAGGATATTTATTTGCGATAAATCTGTTTAAAGACTTAAATGAATTGATTTTTTACTTTTTTTATAATTTTTCATTGTAATAAAAACTCTGAGAGAATAGAATAAATCCAATTATATTTTAGACAATAGCTTTGTAATTAGTCCTTTAAGTCAACGATTCCCAATTTTTTTCGGCTATGGAACCCAAAATGATCGATCTTCTTTTTTGGCGGAATCTCGAAACTTGATGAATAAATGTCATTGATAATTATGAACAGATTAATCAAAGAAGGACTAATAATTATTTCGGGAATATTTAATGAATGTATGAAGTATGAAATTTTTTTATCATACAGTTTTATCAATACTAGTTTTAAAATAGAGTTTCATGTCAGTTTAATTTTCAGATATGGAGCGGCATCTAATCTCTAAATACAATCTCTATCATAATTATCATAATTATCTCTATCTAAATACAATCTATATCTCAAATTCAATCTAATCTCTAGTTCATAATTTGATTTTAGTGTACGATATGGCGAAAATAAATAAATGGTGAAAATAAATACTGAGAATGGTTATCAGAGAAACATTTCTTAACGTTATCACAAACGTTTATATTCCTTATTATTTTTATTTAATGCGAAATACTGATGCAATTTTTCATAAAAGCAAATCCTTTTCAGTATATTGTTATTAGAAAATAAATTCTTTAATTTTAATTTTCTTTCTTCACAAGGATTTTAATTAAATAATTTCATAAAAATAACAGAAATGTTGAATAAATAACTGATAGTAATTTAAATATAAATTTAATGACAGGATTTGAAAATTGCAGCTAATTAAAAATTCTCAGAACCCTTGTGACCCTTTCACGGAAACTTAGGGTTCCTAGAAATAAAATTTGCAAACGGCTGCTCTAAATCATACAAGTAGAAACAAAATCTTAAAATATTATTTTTTTAAGTAATAAAATTGAATGAAATATTGTCCGATATATTGATCTCAGGAGATTAAATACAATTATATAGCATGTAAAATACCAAAATATCTTTATTTTTCATGAGCGTATTAAAATAATAAATGCATTTTTATTAATATTCTTTCTAATGGGTAGTTTTCCTTATGTATGGTGTAATATAAAAATCTGCACTACTTTTTACCTTTTCTGTTTTGAAAGCATTTACAAGTATGGTTAAAAAACCATGAATACAAAAGTATACGATTTTTTAAAACTATTTACAACTATCATGGTTTCAAAACCGCGAAAGAAATTTTACCGGGCACAGGAGTTACGCTTTTCGTGAGGTAATCGGGATTGGAGTTAAGTTGTGGTTGAGCTGTGTGTTATAATCAAATTAACCATGGAATGTGGTTTAATTAGTTTATCTAGTTGTTTCACTTATCGTAAGAGACGGGGAATTGATACCAGTCTTCTCTTTTTGGGTTAAGCAGATTTATGGTGCTGACATCTATGCTTGTCATCTATAGTCTTCTAATAGTCCTGGGTCACAAATTAGGGAGCGCAGGACAGTCGAAGGGAATTGAAAAAATAGTGTGGTGTCAAAGCTGGGACTCGAACCCCTGTTCTGTTGGTCATGAGATTAAGAGATAAGCCCTCTGAGCTATAATATGTACCCAGATACGAGGAACTAAATTGCTTTCTTAAGTAGGCCTTGTTAGTGTGTTAAGTAGGCCTTGTTAGTGTGTAATTCTGGTTGTTTAACCGTATTAGCTAAACGCAGTTAATAAACTATTTTCTCACAGTCAACAGTTTTAATACCATTTTATTTATGGTTATTTGACTGTTTTGTTTGAATATGGTAAAATAACAGTTAAATAAGTTGTCATTTAACCATTTATTCCGAGAAATTTTTGACATAGTATTTCCTTGCTGGTATTGTAGTATTTCATTTAGATTTTAAGAATGTGATGCTTCATTTTGGATTTATATATTTACAGATTAAAATGACATGCGCGTACCATCGAAAATTTTCAAATCCTCATATTTTTTTCTATCCTTTCAGATGAACATGCTTGAGCAAAATCTATCTATGTATTTAATAGACTTACTGCGAGGAAATCCTACTCAACCGCTATTTTTTCCATTAAAAGATTTTCAAAAGTCAGAAGTTATCATTAAATGGAGGTATCAGTTCGACTTTCTCATAATTTTGTTTATTTAAAAGAAATTGCAAATTTTTGACACTTTCTTCGTCATTTATTCTTAAAATTATTTTTATCTTATTTTGCAGAATTTTAGAGAAGATCGCAACCATTAACATTACTCCCCGTAAAACAATCTACAAGCAAAAACTAACAGACGAATTAACTAAAAGGATACAGGTAATCAAGTTTTGATAAAATTTCATGCTCTTAATTTAAAGCAGAAACAAGCGAATAATGTTTAAGAGCGATGTTGTGGTTTATTTTGTAAAAAAAAAAGAAATTTATTGATTGGTAATATTTGTAACTTTTTAAACTTATAAATGTTAATAGAACCTAAAATAATAGAAAGTAAACATAAATTTTCCTTAAATTGTATACTACGTATTGCTTCACTGAACTGTTATTGTGGAGAACTGGGGTTCGACCCCCAGTGGTGACTTGAGTTAATGGAAACTAAAATAATAGAAAGTAAACATAAATTTTCGTAAACTTGTATACTACTCATTGCTTCACTGAACTGTCATTGTGGAGAACTGGGGTTCGATCCCCAGTGGTGACTTGAAGTCCACCCAGCTTCAGATCGATGAGTAACAGATTATCTGGGAAGTAAAAGAGGCCTGTGCAACAATGACCTCATTGTCACAATCATGCCTTTGGTCACGAAAATGTGAAGCCTTAACCTCCATGACCGAACCATGAGCCTGAGTGGGCCAGGCGTTAACCCTGGCCCATTCAGACTGTTGCGGGAATAATTTTCCTTTTTTAAGTATTGCTTAATGAAGAGTTTATAAAAGTGTTACATTAAGTAAACTTTTTTTCCTTTAGCAGTCTTGTGGAATAAAATTATATCCTCTAAAAGAAGTTAAAAAAAAAACATACTGAAACTGTTTAAAACCCCGGCTTACATATCTTCGATTTATGTAATTTAAAGTCAAGCAAAATTCAGTCTGGTTTTGGCTAAAACGGATGTTATTTAAACAGTTTTAATTATACTTTTCATATATTAAGGTGGATTATAGATTACATTTAAAATATCAAGAAACATATAAAGATTATTTAAGTAAAAGGACTCTCTACAATCGCTTCAAAAAATTAAACTTTAGTAAAATAAATTAATTTTTTAATCAACCTCTCATCTCGCTTAACTGTAAAATATACTACAAAAACTACTATGTTGCCTACTGTTGGCAATCGAAAGGTTTTCGTACATTTCGTTTCCGGATATACTGTTATATGGGTTTTCGGGGTATTTATTTACTGACGGTCTTTATATACAGCGCAACTTCGAATCAAAAGAAAGAAGAATTCTGAGTTTTCTATTCTTATAAAAATAAATACAAGTATTAGTTTGTTATCTCGGAAATTATCATATGGGATATATGCTTCTCATAGTTTAGATAGACGCGTTTTCCTATTAAGACCTGCTTAGCAGCTTATAATAGGGAAGCGCTTCTAGCCGCATACGACGACATTTCTTGGCATGATGATTATGTGTCCAACTCCCTTAGGAAGTTTCACGCAACTTTTATGCGATTTCCTGTTTATAAAATTTTTAAACTTGTTCATTCTGACATGAACAGTGAATTTATGCAAAAGTATTTGCATAAATGCAGAAAAAAAGAAAAAACAATTGTTTCACAATATTGCCAAAATCTACAATTTTCTCTGGTTCTCATTAATTACTTTTGTTGAGCCGTAAGAATTCTATTTCCCCAGTGCATCAGTGCTCATCTTTGTACCAGTATCAACATATTTTATACACATTAAAAGTCCTAAAGTGATGTAATAAAAGTAGTTCATATTAACAACATTAATATTTTTATAATTAATATTTTTGAAACGCTTTTTTTGGCAAACTTTTTTTTAAAATTCTTTAAACGCCGTAAAAATCACCAACTATTATTAACGCCATTGACGCTTAGCTAACTGTGGTATTAAATACTACTGTTATTGCTTATATAGGTGCAGTGGTAATAAGAAACTATCATACTAATAATGATGCCTATTATAAGTACCGTGGTAATAGGTTTTTAACAACCTCCGAAAAGGAAACTTATCCAAATATTAGTATACAATACAACGTTTATTTTATTCATTTATATTTTTTTGTTTGTTATTTGTTGTTAAGTTCGTTGCGGCTTCATATTAATAAATTACCGTAATATCAGTTAGAAATTCTATTCACCAAAAGGAAGAATAACTTCACATATAAACATTTAAACTGTGATATTCAGAATTTACCACAGTTTTCCAATGACTTCAATTTTATTTCATTAATTCTTGTTGTGTTTCTATTATTTAAGTTTATAGTTCAATTTCAAGTTCATAAACAACTGAAAAATTACTTCACATTAGGTGCAAAATAACTGTGTTTTTACAGTTAAGATTGCACTGCAGAAAATCTGCAGTTTACTCTAGAATAACTTCAGAACAATTTCAATTCTGTAGAAAAACTGCAGTTTATTCCTGTCTGGGAGAGACACGTGCTTTAAAAGAGTAAATATCAATATAAGAAACAAGCGGTTTCATATACCCAGTGATGGGCATCATTCACGAAAATTTTATTCATGACTAAATTTATTCAGAATAAATTTATTCTGAATGATTATTCATATGAAAATTGAGTCATTATTCATCATTCATTATGCAAATGTATAAAAATTTTTGAATAATGATTGATGAATAATCTCATTAGTCATGACTAATTTTTCTGAATAAAATTTTGAATAACCAGCGAAAAATGCAATCGATATGTCCTTGTCTATAACGAGATGCAAAACATCGTTTGTTCTTAAACGTCTTATTTTAGGAATTTAACTATAAAACTAAGACAAGTGTGAATATTTATTTTAATGTTACTTTAACTTATTCCAGCGTAACATACTTAGTTGTGCTAAAAAGTAGGTTTATAACAGTTTAGTTACTTAAGTTCATTTTAAAATTTTGTTCTAAAATCTATAAAACACAATTTCTTATAGATTTTGAAAGCAAATAATAATCTTATTTTAAATTTTTTTAAAAAAGTTTAACTTAAGAAATTAAACGCTTTTTTGCCATGTAACCATTTTTCAAAAGTATGCATTATGTTAGACAAAAGTAAATTTCCTCAAACATTATATAATATACTTGAAAAGGATTAATGTTTAATTTGAAGTTGTCCTAATCGTTGTCAATTAGAGTATTCCGTGCCCGTTTTTGTTAACCAGTGAAATTATTCAGTTATTCTTGACTAATGAATAAAGGATACTGAATAAAGAATAGTGAATGATTTATTCTTTATTCAAAATATTTCTGACTAATGAATAAATCTTTATTCATTATTCATTATTCAGATTTTGAATAATTATTCATCATTCTTTATTCATTATTCTGAATGACGAATGCCCATCTCTGCATATACCTTTTTAAAATACGAAGTGACGTCATTACCATACTTTGCGAAATTGTTAAGGTTGATTTTGCTTGTGATAAACTGTCGTCATTACCTTCTTTGCGAAATTGTTAAGGTTGATTTTGCTTGTGATAAACTGACGTCATTACCTTACCATCTTTGCGAAATTATTCAGGTTGATTTTGCTTGTGATAAATTGACGTCATTACCACACTTTTCGAAATTATTAAGGTTGATTTTGCTTGTGATGAACTGACGTCATTACCTTCTTTGCGAAATTATTAAGGATGATTTTGCTTGTGATAAACTGACGTCGTTACCTTCTTTGCGAAATTGCTAAGGTAGATTGTGTTTGCGATAAACTGACGCCATTACCTTCTTTGCGAAATTGTTAAGGTTGATTTTGCTTGTGATAAACTGACGTCATTACCTTCTTTGCGAAATTAAGGTTGATTTTGCTTGTGATAAACTGACGTCATTACCTTCTTTGCGAAATTATTAAGGTTGATTTTGCTTGTGATAAACTGACGTCATTACCTTCTTTGCGAAATTATTGAGGTTGATTTTGCTTCTGATAAACTAACACAGAATACCAAAGATAAATAACTCTTAAAAACATGTGATAAAACTAATGTTCGATTGAATGTTTGATCAGAAGGGAAGTCGAATTTTATAAAAGTCAGATATTTAAAATTCGATATCTTTAGAGACCACTCGATTGATTTTTTTTTCAACCAATTAAAATTATGTCAAAATTGTTTTATCATTTTTAAATAAAAAAATATTAAATAATTATTAAAAGTTATTTTTTGCATGTAATTATTTTTGTATAAACTAATTTTATAATTGCATGCAGAAATTTTCTACCCCGCTTAAAAATTTCTCGAGATACGGCGGAATACGCAAAAAATGAACTGAACGTTAAAGCGACCAAACTTTCGGCCAATCTCCTGACCAAACTATTAGACCATATTTTCCAGATTGCGGCTACCCTCTGTATTTAAGGAATCAGGAATCACAATCATTTTTGTGTAGGGAATAGCCACCAAAAAATATCTGTTTATTATTATTAAATGCATTAGTAATTTAAAATATAGTCTGCATTTATTAATTAGTATTTTGGAGGTTACTTCCTCGATCCATTAAAATTGAGTCCTAGCACACGAAACACTTATCATTAGGCAAAAATTAAAAATAAATAACCAAATTTTTATTTGTTTATTTATTTGCTTACTGTGGATCGGATGAGAATTAGGATTTGTATAAGGTAAATACACACACGTTACCTACCAGTATAAACATCCTGCTTTATTTATATAGATTATAAACTGCAAACTCAAAGAGCATTTCCAAAATTGAGGTAACTGATCAACACAATGCTGTGTTCCTCTTGTTGCAAGCTTACCTCCCAAATTTTAGGTGTTTAACACATTTCCATTCAGCATAATCGATAATGAAAATTCTTATTTTATTTTGAACTTCTTTTTCAGAATGAAGTTCGTAATTGGTTGCAGAAAGAGTTCCAAAGTTTGAAACTGACTGGAAAGAATACGGCGTTAAAAGATGTGGAATCGTTGACAAAAATCATTAAGGAATTGAGATCTCAAGTGACGATATGCATCGATGTCGTCTCAGCCGAAGGAACACTTTTTGAAGCAGCGTCTTGTTCTTACCTCGACTGCGTCTCCAAAACAATCAATGAAGAGGTAATGTAGATGTTTGTATATCGTATATATGTAATGTACAGTGCGCAACGGACCACCCTAAGTATCTTTTAATCTAATGAACTGATAAATGAAGTCGTATTTTTAAAATTCGATTTCTCAGGAACTACTCAACCGATTTCAGTCAAATTTTGTATTTTCCATAGAAAGTTATATTTTTTGAAATAATATAAAAAAGTTGTACACCTTACAATTACAAAAATGTTTTTGACCGTTAAGAAATAATAAAAAATATATAAATATTTACTAAAAGTTATTTTTTGCATGGGATTATCTTTGGATAAACGAATTTTGTTACTGTACTCAAAAATTCTTCACTTCTTTTTAACAGTTCTCGAGATCTGACGAAATATGCAAAAAGTAAAATTAACATTAAGGAGCCAAAATTATGAACCGCTCTCCTGGTCAAACTTTTGGGACCATATTTCCCAAATTGCAGCTACTTCCCATATTTAGGTGGTCAAAACTCCAAATCCATCCAAAAACAGGCATGCTTATTCAGAGAAAGTACATGTTTGTGTCTGATTTCGTAACTTAAATTATTTTCTGTTTTAATTAATTAGTATATTTGAGATCACTATCTTGAACCGTTAAGATTGAGACCTAGAACGTGATTATTAAATCAAAAGTTATTAAGATGGTCTGTTTATTTTTTGCTCACTATACATACCGGACACGGTCGATCACACCAATTTCTATGATTGAAACGCAGACTAGTCTCGCTACAGAATCCATAGCAAATACTAAACGTTTGTAATGCAAGATACCTTTAAGAGCATCCTATGGTGAAAATTCAAGGCTCGATGAATCGGATGGACATGGGATGAATAGAGGAAATAGAGGGATGCAGAACACCTAGCGACATACTATGGGATTTCTGTTCATGGGTTACTACGCAATTATGAATATTTATACTGTACTTTACATCATTTTAAGCAATTTTGCAGCATTTTTAAGACAACCTGTGAATCTCGAATATTATCTAATACTTCTCCAACTTTAAGCTCAAAAATTCTTTTTCGTAAATTTTATGTATATGTAATAAAAAGAAGTCAGAGGCTAAAAAAAAATTTTTTTTAAAGAAAATCTCCATAAATTTATATATTATATAGTATCTGACCTATGCTGTAGAGTAGATTTTAACGTAACAAAAACTAATTTCGCTTTCAAAAATTATTTAACAGAAAAGCGAAAATATTTTGACCAAAAAAAAGTAATATTCAGAGGGAACCAAATAAAAACCATCCAGCTAGAAACACGTAGCATATAACCATGCATAAACAGTACAAAAAACATAGTGTACACACAGAGATAATAAAAAAAAACCTGATTGTTTGTTATTGATGCCAAGATTAATTTTCTATTTGTAGTTCATTATTGTTATACTGCGTTTTTGTTTCTTCGGAAGTATTCCTCAATTGATCCATCCTATTATTTACAGTGATAATTTCAATGTTAATTTTTTAAAACGCCTTATTTACTTACAGTTGCGACCAGTTTGTCTCAAAATTATGAAGGCAATGGACATTTATCAAGAATATCACAAAACTTTTCACGTTAACTTACGAGATAGCTGTGTACTATCGCATGCTTTATATCGACAACTTAAGAGCCTTGTTTACTGTTTACATATAGAAAATAAAACGTAAGTTGTAAAAAAAAGCTTTTATTTAAAGATTTTAGTCTCTATTTATTCCTTAGTATTTATTTTAACTAAATCAGATACTAAATTGTTTTTTAGATCAGAAAATATGGACTTCAAAAATTATAGTAGTATTTTTATGAAGTTGTTCATGAATTTACTTCACGTAATGAAATCTGAGTGTCATCATAGAATTAAAAGGGCTGTGGACGAATCAAAAGTAAATATTAAAACTTTATTTTTTTTTATTTGCTGAAACTTACATTTCTTTCTTAGAACTTAAAATGTATGCTTGAAAACACGCTCTGAACTATTATTTTGGTCACTGAGAGGTTATTTTTTATTTTAAAACCGGCGTTGAACTGCCGACCCAATTCTGAGTTTACGACTTTCAATATTCAATTCCATGGTTTTGTAAATTTTAAACCTAATTCAAAAGACAATGAAAATACTGGATTAAGCATTGGGACAAACTAGTCTTCGTGGAGCATTTTTTTGATGGAACTAAACCATATTTGCTACATGCAGAGGAAAACCACGAAAAGCTACCACAATTAGCCCAACGGCAAAAGGATTTCAACCCATGATCCGTCTACTACTGATAATATTTTACGTCTGAAAGTCTTTTTGAGCCGGGAAACGAAACCGTTTCACAGCATAAGGACTTTTTTTAATTATATAGTTGATAAACTGATAATTGTTAATTGTTCAACAAAGTTCTTCGTTCAATGAACAAAGTATCATGTTAAAAGCACTTTTTTAAATAATCCTAAGTACTACCAAAGCAAATAAATAATATACCTCATTTTCATTTTGAAAGAAAATCAAATAATGAATGGAAGTGACTATAAAAAACAGACTCGCATGAATAAACAGAGTTTTGTTTCTTAATAATAAATAATTAATTGTTCTATTCTATTCTGTTAAATATAGTTCAAAAGTATAGTACAATAGTATAAAAGGTGTTAATTTATGTCATTTTAAATTCAAGGCTGAATTCAGTTGGACAAAAAGTTTTTAATTTTATTTATTATATTTATTTTTATTTCATAAATATATTATGATATCATCCTGATATTTTAAGGAGTATATTTCCTCTATCCTAGGATTTTTACAATAAGGAAGAAGGCATATTAAGTTCATCTGTGATTGTTTTGAATTGCTTCTGTACGGTAAGATCATCCACAAGATTTTATATTGAGAAAAATATGTATAGTGCGCAAAAAAAAAAAAAACAGACCACTCTAAATAACTTTTGATCTAATGATTAGATAGATCTTCACGTTCTAGGACTCTTATCTTAATGGCTTAAATCGGTGACCTCAAGCGCGTAAATTATTTAAACACAAAAAACACACTTTCCCTGAATAAACATACATTTTTCGACGGATTCGGATTTCTGACTCTAAAACTATAGGGGTCAACCGAAATCAGGGAAATATGGTCCTAATAGTTAAGTCCGGACAGCGATCCAAAATGCTTGGACCCGTTTATATTAATTTTACTTTTTCCGTATTTTGCCATATCTCGAGAGCATTTTGAAATTTATTTAAAAACTTATTGCACACATTTATCAAATTCGTTTTTTCAAACATAATCCCATGCAAAATAACTTTTAGTAAGTATTTTATGTTTTTGAATTTTGAGCTGAAAGGTATGCACTTTTTAACTGCATTTTAAGGAATATAAATTTTAAATGGTAAAATACTAAATTTGAGTAAAATCGGACGAATAATTCTTGAGAAATCAGATTTCAGAAATACGACTTTTTCAAAATTCGTTTTCTCAAAAACTATTCAACCGATTTCGTTCAAACTTTGCATTTTGACATTTAAAATTGCAATTTTTAAAATGATGCAGAACTTTCTTTACCTTACTATTCAAAATTTGTTCGACTGTCATAAAATAAAATAATAAAACATTTTAAACAATAAGTATTTACAAAAAATTATATTTTGTTAGGAATAGGAATTTTGCAATTGTAGATAGACTACAAAAGAATTTTATAATTGTGTGCAAAAATTTTTTTAATCATAAGAAGTTCTCGAGATATTGTGAATTACGCAAAAAGTAAAATGAACCCAAAGAGCGGTCCAAGCTATTGGGACCATATTTTCCTGATTCCGGCTACTCCTTAAGTGTCGTTGGTCAAAAATACGAATCCGTCAGAAAAAAAAGATAAGTTTACAATGAGGCAGTACGTTTTTGTGTCTTATTTCATAACCTAAAATATTATTTGCACATAAATTTATTGGTATGTTTGAGTGTCACACTCTCGAACCTTTAAGATTGAGTCATAGAGCGTCAAGATCCAATCATTAAATCAAAAGCTACCCTGGGTGATCCGTTNCTCATTGGAAATAAAAAAATAAAATATATATATATATATATGTTATAATAATAATAATAATAATGAATGAATGAATGAATGAAACTTTACACTTCTGAAATACGAGTATAAGTTTGAATAAAGTTATAGTATTCAAATTTGTGTGAATTAACTCAAAAATGGTAATGGCTGTTTTATAGTTAAAAACCACAAGAAATTTTTGTTTAAAATACTAAATATAAGGACATTTTAGTTTAAAATTTGTCTTAAATGTTTATTCAAGTGATCTAATAGTCTAAATTCGCAAATTTTAGCTGACTTGCATTGAAAGATGTACATTGAAATTTTGCATGTAAATATTTTTCAATTCGCGAGTGAGGTAGATGAAGAAAATTCTCTAAAGCGTTTCTAGCACTTCAAATTGCCCAACTTGCTCAACTTACTCTACAAGTTTTGTTTCTAAAAATGCTAACTTAAAATTTTTTTCTTTTTTCTGAAGAGTAAAAAAAGAAAGAAGCTTCAAGTATTCATCAAATGCATTGAAAACTGCAGAAATTTTGATATAAACTAATTGAGTCAATATAGTTCTAAAATTAAATAAAAGCGTTCATTAATTTTTTTAAAAACAATACATAATTATGACAAGCAATTTTACGAACTGTACTGGCATTTGAGAAAACATTGTTTTCTTTGTTTTCTATTTTTTCCAGTTACGAGCCCCATCTTTGATCTTTTCAAGCAAATTTTTAAAAATATTATGAATTAATTACTTGGTTTCCTAAAAAGAAAACGGTTAATGTTTTTTTCTAAAGTTCTTTTGCAAATTAAAATTTTTAAAAAAATCACTGTTTAAATGCTTTACTCTTGAGGCAAAGTTATAATTTTAAACTATATATGCACGCTGGCCGTGAGGAATTAACTAGGCTTTAGATCAGACCAATAACTTTAAAATTTTAAAAGTCATTAAACCTTTCTTAGAAAACGCCAATTTGGCGGTATTTTACCATCTTCATTAAAATTATCAAAATCAATGTCTTATATCTCATTTTTTTTTGCAATTTTTTGTAAGGCTATATAAATCAGCATTGTAGTAAATTTTTAGATATTAAAAAAATAAACCACAAACGCTTTTCATTTTCTTCTTCTCCTTATTGACATTTTTTCTAGCTTTTTTTTCTGACGTTATTTCAGGAACATTCATTTATTTATCATGCATTCTTCGAAAACAGCCTTCACAGTATATTTTGCTCTTCTACGATTTTTCCTCAAATCTCCTGAAATCCGTGTTTTCAATAATGGCAGAAAAAATGTGGTATTTGTTTAGAAATATTTGTTGCAGAAGAAAATAAGCTCATAAATGGGATACGATACTCGTTTTTAGAAAAATTAAATAAATATACTTAACTTTTTTCAGTTACTTTTAATCTTTCCATAAATATGATAAATTTTAATATTTCCGTATTTTTTTAATGTTGTTACGGAATTTTATGGTCTATTTTTTCACAATTTGATTATAGAAAAAATCTATTAGACTCAATAAGATATTTTGATTCGAATTTTTTACCTCCCTTATAACATTTCATTGTAAGTATTATTATTTTTTAAAACTTTGCAATTTATTTATTTATTTTTTATTGTTACTAGCTATTTCTTTTATTTTTTCTATCTCTCTTTTCCCCCAAACTTAACCGATAAATGTCCCTCAAGAGCAGAGGCGTGGGTTTAAATGTTGGCGTGCGTAAATAACAACACCGACTGATGAGGGTGATTTCAATTACATTTTTTGCATAAACAATCGTTTTGTAAAGTCATCCAAACAAAAAAAGAACTGAAAGTTATATTTTTTAAGTGATAAAATTCTACCAAATGCTGTCCAATATATTGCATGCTGAATAACAAGATGTTAATAGAGTTTTTCAAATCGTTTGTTATTTATGGTACTTTAGGTATTAATGTTTAAGTATATATTTTAACCTAGATTTGATTGAATGCAATATTTTGTTCAGTTGTGGACAATTTAAAAAAATATATTTCGTGTTTTTTAGTAGGTAATAGATGAGTGGAAACACATGGAGATTTCAGATGAAGACCTTCAAATTGCATTTTTAATTAAAATAGTTGATGTAAGTGAATTATTTGAACACGAGTAATATTTTAAGGTCTTTTTATCTATTTACTCTTTTATTACTTGTTTAAAGAATAATTCAGATCTTCACATCAAAAATTTCTAAGTACCAATTTTTTTTTTAAAAAATTGAAATTAATCAACTAATATAAATGAATTAACTAATATAAATAAATAAATAAATGAAATTCTTATACTTATGCATTCTTAAACATCAATTACACTTTCAGTTGGCATCACAATTTTAGCCGATGTTATATTTTCATCATCTTAAAAAAAATTGATATTACATTAAATATTTAAAAGTAGAGGAGTTTTTAGAGCATTTGTAAAATTCTTTTAAATTAAATAAACAGACTTACATTTTCACATCTCCCTTAAAAATTAAAGAAATGTTTTTAAAAATTACGATTTAAAATTTAATAATGTAATTTGTACTTTTACACTTTTAGTACTTTTTTGTTAATACTTTGCTGTTAATATTTTCTGTTATTGCGGCACAAAAATATGTTTTATTTAAAGGGAATTTGTTTTCATTTGAAGAATTTTCAAAGAATTATCTTTCAAGTCTTTTAGGTGCGTTTAATTTAACATTTTAACATACTGAACTTATAAGTTTCCTGTAATAAATTTTTAACAAAAATCTAAAGTTCAACTGAATAGTTTCGATAGATTTTTTTTCTTTGAAGTTTCTTAGCATAAAGTATTTAGTCATAATTGCAATTTTTAGTTTAATATTGAGATTTTAGATTCAAAATTTGATTATTTAATAGTTTTTTTAACTTTATTTCACTGTGAAATTATACATGTTTTGTTTTTAATTATTTTAGATTATTTGTGATGGAGCAAAAATTTATGCAGAATCCTTAGATGATAGATTAGAAAAAATACTGCAAGTGAAAGAGTTAGAGTTCGTAAAAATGTCTCAGGTCTATAATAAGGTATGTAATAAAATATCGAATTACTTTAAATAATTTACATTCTTAAAAATATTTTTTAAATGTTTACATTAACTTAATTTTATTAAATTTATTAAATAGAGGATTTGTAATTTATTTAAAAACTTAAGTAGTTTTATAATGCAATTCTCGTAACTACAGGTTTTATGTGCAGTGTTAGAATTCTTACTAAATGTATACGGTACTAGCCTCATTTGGCGACCAGTTTGGTCATGTTTAAAAATTACCTTGTAAAACATATAAACTTTAATGGTGACCAAGCTGAATACACAGCACAACAGTATTTAAATATTCCAATTTTAGCATCTTTTAGCATTAAACAATATCTTTTTAAAATTTTCTTTACCGTCTAACAGTTACCCGGGGCTTCGCTTGCTAAGAAATACTTAGTTTCAATTTTAACTATTTTCCAGAGATGTTCGCGATAATGTTAAAAATCTTTATGAATTGGATTTTAGACATAATTTAAAATCTCTCCGGCAGTTAAGGTAGAAAACTCATCTCAATGTTCCATTAGTGCTGTACTACTTCCTCACGCACCTCTAGATCCATTACTTTAGTATCGTTTATTGCAGATATTCTGTTGCATAAAAAAGCAAACTCCATTGTCGATAATTGGTGGGACAATTGGTGTCACCATAACACCATTTATGTTTAAAATTTCCATTACCATTTAGAAAAGATCAAAAATAAATCTAAATAATTACTTCATAACTGAGTTTTCATTTTTATAAATACGCAAAATTATTCTGAATAAATACTTAACTTATAACTATTTAACACTTCTTAACTATCACCTCAAACCAGCTAAAAAGTAAATTTCTTAAACAAAAGACAAAAATTAACAGATACAAAGCACTCCTACGGCCTGTGATCCTATATGGTAGTGAGTCCTGAACTCTTAATAAAAAAAGATGAGAACTAATTGCTGATTTTTGAGAGAGGGATACTTAAGAGAATTTTTGGTGCAGTCTCTGAGAATAACAAATGGCGCATCCTTTACAATCATGAGTTATATAAAAAGTATAAACAACCAGACATAGTTCATGTTATTAAGGCCAATCACATTCGATGGCTGGAACACCTTTATAGATCTGAAGACCCCGCAAAAAANTCTGCTTTCTTTAAACCAGAAGGTACAAGAAAAAGGGGTCGTCCACCGAATAGGTGGCTGGATGCAGTTGAAAGGGACCTAAAGATAATAGGAATAACTAACTGGAAGGCCATGGCACAGAATAGATCAAGATGGCAAAGGCTTATTGGGACGACCTTGGCCTGTCATAGGCTGTAGTGCCCAAGACGAAGAAAATAACTATCACCTCGGACTACTTAACAAAACAAATACTTGTAATTATACTTATAATTATACTTATAATTGTATATATAAATTATAATTATATTTATAAATTATAAATATACTTAGAAATTACAATTTTACTTATAAATTATAATTTTACTTATAAATTATAATTTTACTTATAAACTATAATTATATTTATAACTAATTTTGAAACATTTATTAATTTGTTATTTATGTCTAGCATTATGTAGTTATGGTATTTTATAAAAAATGGACTTTTTATGTTTTGTAGGCTGTAATTTTAGCAAACAGCGTTGATCATGTTAGAGAGTTTCTTAAAGAACTTTCCATAAAGATGCAGTGGGAGGAATCACTGTCTTTGCTGAATGATGCTTTAGACTGTACCATGAAAAAGCAAGTGCTGAGGATACTGAATTTAGTGCATCAATCCATGGATATTCACTTGGATCATGTCATCATGAAAATGTTGGACGATATGTCTGACAACCTCGTTTCTGTCTGTGAGAAACAGTTGAGTTCATGGATGAATTCCCCCTCCTCAGGACAAGTAGGGAGACTTATTTCTTGTTTCTTCTTTATTTATATGCGATATATATTCTAGAAATAATAGGCGCAAAAGAAAAACTCTGAATTATTCATTTACTTTTCACTAAATGATTTATTTGACTGTAGTAATAGACTTCTTTAGAGCTGCGATGGCTCAGGGGATAGAACGTTCACCTTCCAACGAGGTGAACCGGGTTCGAATCCCAGCAATGGCTGGTCGATACGAATTCCGCATCCGGCTTGCACCGACCAGAGTGGTGACGTGAAATATCCTCCGTGGTAGACGGATTCTGGGTTAGAGTCCCCTTGCCGTCAGGCTAACCGTGGGAGGTTCTCGAGGTTTTCCTGTCCATGTGACGCATATGTGAGTTAGTTCCATCAAAAAGTCCTCCACGAAGGTAAATTTCTTCCAATACTCGATACAGAGTTCCCTTGTCTTCCGGATTGGGTTCAAAATTACAAGGCTACGTAGTTGAACATTAGTGGTCGTAAACCCAAAAATGGGATCTGCTGTTTAACGACGGTTATAAAATAAAATAGATTTTTTTACCACACCCTCCTAAAGGATAAGTGTCCTAATATCCCAATACTACAAATCCATGGCACCAAATATAACACCTTTAATTTTTAATTATTAGTTGCATTCAATACTAAATTTACAATGATATGAGTTCAACTCACCTGTAGAATAATTGATTATACATATAGTGTCATTTAAGATGTTAGATTCGGAATTTATCGCAATTTTTCTATGGCTTAATAGATAAGCTCAATTTTATTTTTTTAGTTCTTGCTGAGTTTCATTCATTAAGATTTGTAGAGACGTGCTTCAAAAGTCTAACGCAAGAAACCCGTGGTTCCATATACCCCTAAATGCTAATTTTACTTTTTGCGTATTTCGTTATATCTCAATAAATTTCTTAAGGGAATCGAAACTTTTCTGCCCACAATTATAAAATTAGTTTATCCAAAGATAATATTCAAATGCAAAAAATAACCTTCGGTAAATATTAATTATTTTTTTGTTATTTTACTTAAGAATGATCAAAAAATTTTGAATTTTAAGATATGCAAATTTTTGCAACTATTTTAAAGATTGTAATTTTATATGACTAAATGAAATATTTGAGCAAAATTGGTTGAATAGTTCCTGAGAAATTGAATTTAAAAAAATTCAGATACTTAAAATTCGATTTCTCGGGAACTATTTCGACCATTCTTAAATAATAAAAAATATTTATGAAAAGTTGTTTCTTGCTTGAAATTATCTTTGAATAAACGAATCTTATAATTGTGTGTGAAAATTTATCAATTTGATTAAAAAATTTTCGAGATTTAGCGAAATACGCAAAAAGTAAAATTAACATGATAGGGTTCAAACTTTGGAGCGCTCCCCTGACTAAACTATTGTGACTACCTCCTATATTTTGGGGATCAGAAATCCAAATCCGTCGAAAAAAAGGTATTGCTTTTTCAGAGAAAGTGCGTTTTTATGTCTGATTTCGTAACTTAAAATATCGTCTGCACTTACTAATTAACATATTTGAGATCACCCCCTCGAAACATTGTGTCATTTATCGTGAAGATCCGATCATTAGTTTAAAAGTTATTCAGGATGGTCCGCTTTTTTTTTTCTTTCTCTTTTTGGGCACTGTACACCTGATTTCAGAATTGTGCATTTATATAAGGTACATACAAACACATATGAACATTCTGCTTTATTTACATGAATTTTATGTTCTCTTAGTTTCTTCTCGTAATGAAACATGTCTTCATGTATTTAATTTCGCTTTTCCTGTTAAGGTTTTTCTTTGCTTGGAAATTAGTTTTTAGCCCAAATTATGCATTTTTTTTACTTCATTTTTACCAAGAATTCTAAACTTATGTATTGCATAAAATCCCGTAAACTTTATTCCACTGTTATACCCATACTATAATATCATAAAAATATTTTTAGGCCTACGAGAGAATACAAATTTACCTGAATGAATATTTAGAAAATCTCAAGGAAACAATTAGAGATAATTTATTTCCGAAGTTCCTATCTTTGTTGTGGTCAGCGGTCTTGAACTACGCACAAAAAAGGTTTTTAGAAGGTGTAAGTTTTTGTTTCTATTCTTGTTTTCGAACTGTTCCATATTATTCTATATTTTAATAATTTTTAATCTTCTATTTTAAAGGAGCCGCCTGAGTATGCAGAATCTCTGAAAAAAGTAAGAGCAAAATTTTTGCATAAACTTTTTCTTGATTTTAATTCTAAAACTGATCCCATTTTATTCTTCTAATTACTCATTTTGCTAAATTTAAAATGTGCTGAATAAATAATTTTAAAATCTGTCTCTCCATTTATTAATTTTTCATTGCAAAAACAACGTAATACTTTAATTCATATTGTTTCGTATAAGTAGCAAAATTTTATTTCATTTATTATTTACTGCTGTTAATTTACATGCAAAAAAGGCTCACAAGCAAGGATTTTATTCTGTTACAGGATATCGAGTACTTCCGAGAATACTTTCTATATATAGGCATGTTAGAATCAGATTCTTACAAAGCTGTGTGGCAACAAATAATGTCCTTAATAGATTTAAACTCAAAATCCACTGTTGATTTGCAACTGGATTACTATACACACATTGCCGAATCGTTAGTAAGTATATTTTGTAGTTTTTATAACATAAATTATATACATAAACACAATAGCCCGGTAGTGGAAACACTTTGACTTGGCAGTGGATGCTGTCGATTATTTCTCATTTAAGTTTTCTCTTCGGTTTAAAATGCAAAAGAAAAAAAATACGAGGGGGATATTGCTGATACTTCTTTAAAACATCTTAAAACTTGTTTCGAATAAATTGTGAAAAGCTGAAATAAGAGAATACCGCAAAGAAAACTTTATTTGATTTCTGTTATTTGATTACAGGTTTTATTTGTTACTATTTATTGCAATATTTTCGTATCAATGTATAAAATTCAACTCAAGTTTATAGGCAATGAAGTTTTGTATGTATAAGGACCTTATATTTTCAAATTTTGCTAAATGTAGATTAAATTAAATTTTTATTCTGTCTGAGTGAATTAAGATCACAGATAAATTGGGAATCATAAGTTTGGAATCATGAATTTGCTGCAGATTTACGATTTTGTTAACGGTAATTATATATATAATATAATATTTTGAATTATTTATTATTATATTATTAACATTATTATTATTTTTATATATTATTTTTATATATTATTTTGAATTATTTATTTGAAAAGGAGTGAAAACAATTTTCCGAGTGTACCCCATTTTGTTTATTTTCCAAGCAGGATTTTGTTAAGGTTGTTAGCGTCGCACTGAAACGTGGCTATTGGCGACGGTCTCAGATTCATCTCTTATGAAGACAATACTGCTCAAAATTTTTGTAAGGCAAACATAACCCGATCTCCACACGCTTCATTTGCGCGGAATCATTACCGGCTGAAACCACCGGAGATACTACACTACAGAAAAGCCTGTAATCGAATCAGAGAAACTACTCGGAAAACAGTCGAATTCTTGGTCATAGATGGCGCCACTGGAAAACAAAAGCAATCGCACCCATTTGCCTTAACAGGCATACGAAACAACAACAACATCTGGCTGATCAGAAATACATCTTTGAGCACGGGAAATCGAAATCCGACGGAAGTCGGGATAGGCCAGAGATTTTGCATTTATTCACCACCATCTATTTATAAAATGAATGGGAAAAAAATTTCTTATTTAAAAAAAATAATAATTTTTATCATTTGGAATTCTATTTGTTCACCCTATACAAAAACTTTTGCTAATCGCTTTTGATTATTATATATGCATGCAAGTTATCGAATATGATTTAATCTCATGTCTCTAAGGCTTAAACTATATTGTTGTCTAAAGAATGTAAGCGACCTTTGATCATTTATTTTTATCTTTTACGCCATGTGATTTCATTATTCTTAGTTTTGAAATGAAAAGAAACTACACTGTATCTGTACTGTATTAAAAGATCAACTAAAATGAAATATTTATTTCCAGGTCTCTCCTGTTGAATATCTTGGTCACATAGCATTCCAAGCTGGTTACAAGATAACTGGACAAGACACCATCGATTTATACATTAACGGTAATTATACTAATTCAAGGAAAATATTAAGATATCTTTCAGATTTTTAGCCAGAAAACACTTAATTTAAAAAAATTAATTAATAAACATATAAATAAATAAATATGTAAATAAATAGATAAAATATAAATAGATAAAAAAAATATGTAAATAAATAAATACGTACATAAATAAATAAATAAATATGTAAATAAATAAATAAATGTGTAATCCTGATTAAAATATAATTATGTTTTTTTCGTCTAATTGAAAATTTATAATTAAATTAAGGCAGTTTTTTAATTTAATATAAAGCAATTATTTTTAACTTCGTTAGAAATTAAGCATAACGTTGTTTCTTTTAGTTTAAACTATATTATTTCAGATAAAATGCATATTTATTAAAAAAGATTGTGTTTTTTTGCAGTGCAAAAGGGTCAACGACTACCAGCTAGAAGCTTCGAGATGTCTGAACTCCATGTGAAATTGGCGTTGTGCCCGTCTTCTATGTTCCCAAATCACGTGCCTTTAAAAACTGCCATCGTGACAGAAGATTTAGACAATCCTGTATTTAACGAATTATTTCAATTGTAAGGGTAAAACATTTGCACTCTTTAAACAATTTTTAAGGGACTAATCTTTTTTCGTATTTATTTATTTTTTCCTTTTTATAAATGTTTTTACATAATATTTAGATGATAAGTGTTATAAATTGACTAAAATGCCACCCTCATTTTCCTTTTCTTGCGAGCGAAATTTTTTTTATCCCAGTACATAAACAAAAAAAAAAATGTCAGCCAGTGGTAAGGAGTGGTTCAAAGGCATGCAATAATATCATGTTGGTTCCTCTTTTGCATCAATGAAAGTCAGATGCACGCATCCGGCGGTGACTCTCCACCAGTTTTTGATAGAAGGCTATAAGTTCCATGCGCCCATCGCACAACTGTGGTGATTACTGGCACTGTGGAAGGTTCATTTGGCTGGCTATTTAATCTAAGCTCTAATTCACACCAAAGGTGTTCTATGGGATTTAGATTTTATTTTATTATTTTATAACCGTCGTTGAACAGCCGACCCAATATTTGGGTTTACGACTACTAGTGTTCAACTCCGTTGCCTTGTAATTTTAAACCCAATCCAGAAGACACGGAAACTCCTGAATCACGTATTGGGAGAAATTTGCCTTCGTGGAGGACTTTTTGATGGAACTAACCCGCATTTACGTTACATGGAGAGGAAGACTGCGAGAACCTCCCACAGTTAGCCTGACGCCAAGGTTACTCTCACACGTGATCCGTCTACAACTGAGGATATTTCACGTCAGCACTATGGTCGGTGCAAGCCGGGTACGGAACTCGTATCGACTGGGATTCGAACCCGGTTTGCCTCATTGGAAGGCGAACGCTCTATCCCCTAAGCCATCACGGCTCATGGGATTTAGATTTTGGTTTTAAAAAAAGGCCTATCTTGTATTTGAACACCTCAATGTGTGAATGGTGTAGTTATTCTGCTAGGCCTTCCTCAAAATATCGAAATATAGATGTAAAGGTAGCATTATCCAGTATGTCCAGGTACATCTCAGAATTCAAGTTTCCAACAACACGATTTAAGGGACCCATTCCAAATCTTGAAAACTACCATTACTCTACCATGCCATTATTCTACCATGGGTATCCGGATACTTTTGGTCAGATTGTGAATATTTTGGTACTGGGTGTCCGGATACTTTTGGTCAGATTGTGAATATTTCAGTACTGAGTGTTCGGACACTTTTGGTCAGATTATGAATATTTCAGTACTGGGTGTCCGGATATTTTTGGTCAAATTGTGAATATTTTAGTACTGGGTGTCCAAGCATGAGGAATTGTTTCAAGCAGAGTCCCTTAGAAGGAGGTTTGAAATGTGTTCAAGAAACAAAATTGTCGTTGTGTGTTGAAAACTTGAAAATTAACTGTTTGGGCCATCATGAAACACTTTCTTCCCTCGGTCGACAAGATTCAGGGGTCCCGCAGTGGATTGATCGTTAAGACACTGTTCTCATCAGATCACCGAAGTCAAGCATCACTGGCTGCGGTCAGAGTGCGGGTGGGTGACCACTTGGATCAGTCTGCGTAGGGACCGAGGGTGTGCGGTATTGGTCCTCGTTCAACTGTGCTACCGTAAAGTGCTCGACTTCGCGTGTAGGTCGTTGGGCTATCGAAGCGGGGGTGCCATCCCCTCTGCAGAGGATCAAAATTGTGATTGCATGTCTTCGGATCATCCTCAGGGATGCTTCCCAGACCGTCGCCAATAGCCCATTGTGCAACTCTAATGCGACGTAAATCAACAACAACAACAAGATTCAGGGCGATTTCTCATTCTCCTGGCAGTCACACATTGGTGAAGTGTTTTTCAACCCTTTGTATATCCCAACAAACTCGACCTTTTACTTTGAACCATATTATATTCTTTTATTTACTGATTCTTTGATATTTGTAGCTCAAAACTCCCAACGAAAGTTCTGAGTGTGAAAGGAGCTGTTGTACAGGTCCATGTTTTAAACCAAGACAGCTCATACAGTGCCGAGGCTGTGCTGTTATTGAAGCAAGTACAAAACATGAGTGGATTTACTTCATTGGAATTTTTACCTGTATATTTAATGCCACTTAAAAAGTTCGAAATGAGTGAAATTTCTTTTCAAGTAAGATTTAATATTTCTTAAAACTTCACTAATAATTCTTCTGAACTCTTCTATGTTCGATTTACTTTCATTACCTGCTGTTTAAAACTTTATCAGACATAATCTGTTAGAATTATCTGATTAGTTAATTAGTTAATTTCTAATTCAATTCCTTGTTAGAAATTTCATAAAATCTAGGCAGTTATTTTTTTAAAAATGTATATACGTTTTTGGAAATGTTCTTTTATGTGTGTGTTATCAAACATAAAAAAGCAAAAAATAATTTCTTTCAGAAGTTTTGACTTTTCAAAGGTATTTTTTCTGATAAAAAAAACGAAGAAATTTTATGTAAAAAATATTAAATTTTTTTTTTTAAATAAAAGCAATTGTCGAGATTTTCTTCTTTGATCAACATTATTAAAATCAGTTAATAATTTATTTTGTAGTACATTTTTAGTAACCCATGCGCTACATAATAACTGTAACATTATTGTGATGACTTTTTAAAATTTGAAACAAACTGGTATTAAACGTTTTATTTTTCACTATATGTTTTTTATTCATATTGACCTTTTACGCTATTTTCGTAAGCATCTTACTGAAATGACCAATATGAAGATGGATAAAACTTAATTTAACAGTAAATATACTATTTATTTAGCAGTAATTAACAGTTATCAACAGGTAATAACAATTAATAACTGCAAAAACTATTATTTGGCTTCATGTAATCTCACTTATTTTGTTTTCCGAAATCAACTAAAGCGCGAGATAATGAAATAAAGACCTTGACTAAGGTAAAAAACTTGTGACATATTCTTAAAAAAATCCCTTAAAATTGCAAAAAACTTTCAAATAAATTAGAATTACAAAAAAAATATTAAAGTAAAAATTTGTATAAGTTTACAACAAATTTAACAGTTAATAATTCTTGAACAAAATATTGATCTTTAAATTTCTTCATCCAACTTATTGTATATTTTTTGTATACTTTTGTACTTTCTAGTTTCAAAGTCTTATAGTTATTGCGCAGCAAATCAAAATATAACATTAAGTTGAACAAACAAAAAGGAGCGATAGCATCAATTTATAAAATGAGATACCTAGTTTTAGACTTGGTTAAAATTGCGTACTAGCATTTTTTTTAAAGGCTAATTTTTTCTCCTTAATATTTTTTTTCACATTAAATGAACTATATTCGAAACTATAGGGTGAGTTATCATTCGAATAAAAATTTAAACTATTTTATTAAAGTACTTTCTTAAAAAGAAAAAGAGAAAGAATGCTTAAGAAATCGGTTTTATCTGACTTTCCATTACACTTTTTTTTCCAATGCCCACCCGGATATTGAAAGGCAGATTTGTTGATTACTCTTTCTGGGGCATCACATTAGGCGATGGACTAACGTTACTCCCACATTAAGGGCAGATAGTACGGAGAAGAGAAGGAAAGAACACCTATGGCCTTGTCCGGGATTCGAACCCGGGACCTTTCTGGCATGAGATCAGCTCCTTGACGACCATACAGACCATTTGACACTTTCTATTACTTAACATTCTTAAAATTTCGTAAACAGTTTTGTTGCTAAAAAATACAGTTATTATTGTAAACACTGTTATTAAAAGATAATAATTAAATTTATGGAAATTTTTTCAACATATGTAACAATTTATGAAATTTTGCAGGTGCTGGAGAGTCGAAGTCGTTGGGATAAAAGCGCCAAACATTTCATAAACAGTCGTATGAAAACGAAAGGACAACAAAAAACATTACTGAGTTGTATTCCTGGAAAAAACTCATGTTTTCTGTGATATTGAGACACGTTTTTCTTAAACGGAGTTTTTAAAATTATTTTTTTCATTAATGGTATTGCAAATACATGAAATACAAATTGTTTTTATAATACAAACGAATGTTGAATAAAGTTTTTTTTAGTAGTTTTTTCTGTGATTTCGGGAAATTAGACGAAACATACTATCATTGGGCCGGCTCCTTTGTTGTGTCACCTCCATTATTTAACATACTTATAAAGCTTCCATTATTTTTTTATACTTTATGAAGCTTGAAATTCGCCATCTTGATCGTCAATTAATTCATGTTTAAACAAATTTTCTGTACAAAAAAAAGTACACATTTTCTAATTTCCTTCTAATTTTCCAATTCAAACCAACTAAGCCGTGGTGGCTCAGGAAATAGAGCTTTCGCATTCCAATGAGGTGAACCGGGTTCAAATCCCAGCGATGGCTAGTCGATACGAATTCTGCATCCAGTTTGCACCGACCACAGTGCTGACATAAACTATTCTCAGTGGTTCACGGATCATGGATTAGAGTCCCCTTACCGTCAGGTTAACCGTGGGAGGTTTTCGCGGTTTTCCTTTTTTTGTGCTTTAGTTTCATGCTTTGTCAATCTCTGCCCCTATGTGATTCCTCATTTTGAAAATTTTAATCGCTTGTGTTCCTAAAGTTTTTATCTATAGTATATATATGTCCTTTCTGTTTAAAAAAAAAAGGGAAAAAAATTACTGGAATTTGATACCTTTAGTACTGTTGCGCCAGCCGTAATTATCCAGTCGTAATCTGAGTTACAAACATCCTATATTTTTCATGTGAAATTGTTTCCTTTTATTAACTTTGCATTCCTACTGAAGATGCGACATCAATATCTCTTCTGATTGTTACTGTTTATTTTCTTTGTAATGTTTGCTTGCTTAGTTTATTTCTAAGTAGCACTGTTTTCTGGATTTCATATTTAATATTCCACCTATTTGTTAAAACTCTAATTTGAAAATTTTGAATATGTTTGCTCATGTAATTGAACTGTTACGCTCACTTCGAACTTTCGGAGTGCCCCCGGATGCCCCCTTACGGGGCGGGACGGGCTTAAGCTTGTTATTATTAGTCGTAAACCCAGAAATTGGGTCGGATGTTCAACGACGGTTAGAAAATAAAATAAAAAATTCAGACCAACTATGGATATCAGTGATGCGTAAAATTTTAATTCTTATGGATAGTATATAAAACTGAGTTTAATCTGCGTTATTTAAAAAGTTCGACGCAGATTGTTTACTTTGTTACAAGAGAATTTAATGGCGTATGACATACCGATTGCTAATTACTAGCAAAAAGCCAGCCTTAGTTGCTATGAATGAGCTGGTGACCCAATACTAGCATACATTATACTGGCTAACATTATGCGACCGGTTCTGTATAGTTATAAGATTTGTTGTATGCGTTTGATTGTATGTAACGTATAGTTTTTTTACGTAGCAGTAGAGCTGTCCAATGGGCAACGGTCAGAGAAATATCCCCGAGAATGATCCGAAGGCATGGCTTCCCCGCTTTTGTACACAGTAAAAAATTTCCGAAACTAATTTTTACTCAACAAAAATGTTTCGAAAATCTCAGAGAACTTAATTTAATATCATGCTTCGTATCAATTGAGGAATATATATTTTATTCTCAAAAGAAAGAAGCTAAATTGCATTATAACGTAGTTACCCCTACAACTTTTAAATCCTAATTCACTAGCATCATGTCAACTCAAATCTATCTTGAGTTATTTTTTTATTAATGGCTATTGCCATTGTTGGCAGCCAAGCCCCACAAGACATTTCCTAAATTTTAAGAAACGCTGAAAAGAAACGCTTCATATTAAAAAACAAATCCAAAATTATAAATCTGAAGTTATGAGAAAGGTTTCAGAATATTATGGAAAGAGGTTTCTGAATGCTTCGAAATATTCAGACACGTTTTTGAAAAAATTACATGCACCGTAACCGTCCATACATTCAAAAACGTTTCGGGATATCTTTTACAGTGTAGCACGAAACTTTGCGCGTGAAGTCGAGTCTTTTATGGTAAAACAGTTGAACAAGGACCGATAGCGTGCAGCATCGGTTGCTTCGCTGGCTGATATATGCTGTCAACCACCTAACCACAGCCAGTGGTGTTTGACTTCGGTGATCTGTCGGAAACCGTGTCATACGATCAGTGCGCTGTTGAACGGATTCGTTCTTGACGTTTTATTTTTAAAATACTAATTTTTAACCTAAACGTTTTTGCTTCTTTGATAAGGATTCAAAAATATACCGTAAGGGTAATTATTAAAATTTATTAATTAAAGCTATTTTAATTAATTAAAAAGTATAAATTGCAATTTGATTCCCCAGTGATCAGTGGTTAACACACTAAGAAGAACTGGGGTCTGATTCCCCGGGATAGCTTTAAACCCACCCAGTCTTATATCGAAGGGTGCCAGCTTGCCTGGGAAGTAAAGGCGGCTTGTGCGCAGTGCTGACCACATTTCCACAATCATGCCGTTGGTCAAAAAGTCTTGGAGTCGTGACCTCCATGACCCCCTTTCCTACTTACAGGCTGTTGCGTCAATGCTTTTTTTAATTGCAATTTATTAATTAAATTGAAAAATATTATAGCTAGATTGATGCACATTAATTATCATGACAGAACTGCATTGTACAAAAACATCCCTTGCAATAAGTCACAAATTCTCTCGAAATATTAAAATTAAAAATCATCCTTTATAATCGTGTTTTCGTGCATTTTATCAAATGCGTGTGCACTTATATGATTTTTTCTTTCAAACTGATTTCCTGCGTTTCTTCTTCTTTCGAGCACGATTGCTGGAAACAGTTTTCTGATCACTAGAAACAAATAAGAAGAAAAATATTTACAAAATAAAGAAATATATACACAAAAATTTTATAAAAATTCACACAAAAATACTATGCATAAAAATAAATATAATAAGAAGAGAAATATTACTCAGCATAATTTAGTCCTCCTGTTTACTTGCTTTTTCAAGATGAAAGATTTTCATACTTTATGAATGATATGAAAAATATGATATTAATCTTTTTACCAAATTTGGAGTTAAAAGAAATCTTTTTACTCTTTTAATAATGACAGTTGGTGAATTCAGCAATATATCTTGCTGAATTCACCAACTGAATTCATGCACTTCACAAGTATATATATTATAAGGAATGTTTTACAAGGTACAACATAGCACGGTGTTGCGTTTTCGACTATTTGATATTACTCTTCGGATAATACTGATTTTGACTTACATAAATTGATTTGATATATTTTCTGCTAAACTTGTTAATTTATTGAATTTGAATATTCATGAAATTAAAACTTATTTTTCATGGACTAACATAAATCCTGTTAGTCATAAACGTAATGCCGAAGAATATTTTTTGGTATATTCCGAAAATTCATATCTTTACTAAGAGCTTGGCCAAGACTAAGAGTATAAAAATCGTACTCATTGTGGGTGACATAATTCACAGGAAAATAGATTTGTCATAACTTGGGCTTTTTTTCTCATTTCAAGGTACAATACAGAGACTAGTTCTAGAAAATTACCTTTTTGCTATGTATTTACCATAGTTCTGTTTTCAAATAGAACTATAATAAGGTTTTACTTTTATGTTAAATTGATTAAAAAAATTACTCAGCAACTAATAAAATATGAGACAGTTATTCAGGACATACCTGTAAAGTCTGAAATGGTTTGAAACTTGTAAATATATTTAATCAAAAATCCATAATTTACTTAAATTTCAGTTGATTATATAAAATTATTCAAACAAAAAGTCAACTCATAAAGAAAAAGCAAAGTTTAAAAAAATACGTTTCGAATTCTATTAAATTTTCATAAATACATTTACATTTGAAAATGATTAGTATTTATAGATAAAATAATTGTATTTCCAATAGAAATTTTCAAATCAAAATAAAATAACAAAACTAAAGAATAAAAAATAATATATCTCTGATAATAATTCTGAACATTTAAAGCAGCTCTTTCTCGAAAACTATATTTTAATTTATTTTATTAATTTTCAGCTCATACATACTCCAAGAACAAAATTAAGATGCTGCAACGATCTGTGAATTTAACTGTCTGACATTAAGCTTAATTTTAAGACTGTTATTAATAAAGCAATGAAAAAGCTTCATTCCTCACATTAAATGTTTTTAAAATATAGTCTTCCATTGGTTAGATATATTCATGGCTACTAATAAACTTTATTTATAAAATTCTTTCGCAGCTTTAACTTTTTAATCTTTTAAACAAAATGTTTTATTATAGAAAATTAAACTTTTTTATTTTAAATTTAATTATGAAAACTAATTAAGGGAATTTTACTTTTCATTTTTTATTAAAATATATGTTTATAAATTTTATAAAATTTTTAGCTTTTTTTTTAAATTAAATGTTTTATTTCTATTCGAAGAAAACAATGATTATAAAAACTTTTTTTTATAGTCGTCGTTGAACAGCCGAACCAATTTTTTTGGTTTACGACTACTTATATTCAACTCCGTAGTCTTGTAATTTTGAACCAATTCAGAAGACAAGGAAACTCGTGGAGCAGTACCTCCGGAGGTATTGATTTATTATGGGAACATGGAGGACTTTGCGACGCGACAGATTTATCGTGCATCAGTCACCATTTTACTACACTGGGAGTCTTCGGCCGGCGGGGATCGAACCCACGAACTCTTGGACACGTGTGAAGAGCAATGCAGTTAATCAAATAACAACATATTTAAAAATCTTACATCTTATTGGCTGTGTTTATTTTCGCCGAAGGAAAACGGCCACAAATCATGGAGACGAGATCCCAAAGGAACTCTGTAATTTCAAAGAACGTGACTACTGTCAGCCCCATGAAGAATCCCAAGTTTCCACCAATATTTGCTACCATGGTTTCCCACTAAAAAATAGATAGGTAGCATAAATTATCATTTTAAAGTAAAAATATATGTTTGAAGGAACTCATAAAATTATAAATATATTTTTAACAATATTTTACATTGATGCATTGAGAAAAAGGAAACTAGTAACATACTTACTCGATTATACCAGATCAATAGCTTCACAAAGATATAAATAGCAAATAATAGTCGACATGTTTTAAGTTCTTCAAAAATATAAGCCCATTTTAAAGACTTGGCAGACGTAAGTGAGAAAACGTAAAGTTGCCGAAGGAAAATGGAAAAATAAAGATGGGGAGCAAAAATAGAAAAACCACGGTAGCCGAGACAGAAAAAGTGGAAAACTGAACAAGAAAAAACAACTCTGGCCGAAAGGAGCGAATCGGGGTAAAATACATTTCCACGCTCTTTGGAGCGGTTGTATGGTACTAATGTCCTTAACAAGGGAGTCAGCTTTCGTAATGAATAAAACAAGATTTCAGGGCATCAAGATGAGCTGATGCGAGTGGGATGGAAATAATTTAGCATTGTCAAAATTGAATTTATGCCCAAGATTCCACCAATGTGCAGCAATTTATGATTTCAAGACATGATTTCGTGATAACGGACATATCAATCGTGTTCCTTAAGTCTAAATTTTACAACACGTCTAGTTTGTTTAATATAGCCAAGGTCGCACTGACAAGGAATGTGGTAAATGTTCCATCGATTATCGAAGCTAATAGGATCTTTGATAGACTTAAATTTGATGATGTTAACAGGCCAAAAACGACTTGTGCATAAGTATATAAGTCGAATACGTTGATAGGAATAAGATAGCATTTTAGTATACTGTGTCACATACACAAAAAAAAATGTCATTAGAGTCACTTAAAGCGTCGCGAAATTAATCTTTGTCGACAAAATATATCAACTATTTGAAATTATCGATAAATTTCCTTGTTAAGTTCTATTAATGAATATTATTTTTTTAAAGGTTTTCTGTTTGTAAATTGCAGTAAGTATAGGTATGTAAAGTATAACCATCCTAATTTGGAATCAAAGAAGTTCAAATTAAACAGCATGATCAAAAATATAAAATGGGGTAAATATTTTACATCACAGTGATAAGATATGGCCCCCATCAACTTTTAAGTTCTTTTAATAACGAAAAGAAGGGGGAAAATACTGCCGTAGTGGTTAGGTTAATTGTTTACTGACTGGTATGTCTCAGGTTCAATTCCGGCTGAACACTCTCACTAAATTTCAACTTTTAGGTAAACTGAAAAATATTATTAAATTTAAAAATATTTTTCAGTTTACATAAAAGTAGAAATTTGTCTGGAGTTTTTTTAACCTAAAGAATGTTTGAATTTTTTATTTTATATATTTAGGTACGAAATCCAATTAGGAAAATTTTTAAACTTTTCTCCTAAAACAAGCATATTTCCAAGCATAAGAATGAAAAAAATTGTTAAAATTTAAAAAAAAAAGATCACTAAATAAATAACTGATAATATATTTTTGAGAGAGAAAAGACAAATATATTAATACATACGCTGTAAGATGCCACTTCCTTATGATTGGATACCATAAATGCGTTAAAGTATACTTTCACACCCAGCAAGGATTTTCTAAAAAGAATTATTTAAAATATATATGAAAAATATATATGAAAAATATAAAAAAAAACAAGAGGTGTAAATTTAATATTTTAGAACCCGAATTTTTCTCTTTAAAAGTGCACTTAATTTTAAAATTCTATTTATTTCTACGTAGAGAAAAAAATATAGTTGCTAAGTCATTTTTCTGAAAGTTTTCTTGTGAAATCCTCTTACAGTGTAATTTAATCGTTTGATACGATTCTTCACAGGTAATGGGTGAAAGAAAGTAGAATATCTATGTTTCGTGTAATTAATCGTAAATTATGCCTTACACAAATACTTTGTATAATAAATTTTAATTAATACTTATTATAAGAAATGTCAATTTAAAATATTAAAGTTTCTGCTAATTTAAATAAATATTGTTTTGATGCGAATCAAAAGTAAAAAGTGACAGATAAATTAGTTATTTCATTATAAACATTATTTTACCATTCGTATCCATAATATCATACAAGAGGAATCATAAGCGTCTTTCCAACTTTGAAGCTTAATGACACCTAATATAACTGAGGTAGCTGTTGTTTACACATGAATGAAACAAATAAAATTTCATTTTCTTTCTCTTTATTTTTGCATACAATTTTCTTGTAAAAACCAAGAGTTTTTAGAGACATTTGAGCATTAAATAGTGTATCTCACTCTTGTTTAGATATTTTGCCCGAAAATAACTTTGACCAGAGGTTTCCAAATAGTGTTAAATGGGTTCCGAGAGTTAAGACTTTTTAAATCTGTAATTATATTTAGAACAAATCAGTAATCCATTATTTGCTTATTAATTCTGATTGCCTTTATAAAATTATTGAAAGTAAAATGACAAAAAGAGAGAATAAGTTTTTTTTTTTAATATAATTTCTCTCATACAACCAATTATGAAATTTTTTTCTTCCAATGCCCAGCCAATTTATACTCGTCATTTAGGTATCAGTAGGGCAGATTTGCTGGCCCCTGTTTCAGGGGCACCATATTAGGTGGGTTAACCTTGCTCCCACAGTAAAGACTGATTGTACAGAGAATGAAAGAACATCCATACCTTGTCCGGCATTCGAAACCAGGACCTTTGATGTGAGGTCAGCTGCCTGACCACTACACAGTTGGATCGGCCAATTATGAAATGTACACATATTCATAAAAAAATTGCAATGGTATTTCAAATCAAACTAAAATAACTGAATTTTCTAACAAAGAAATATGTTAAATATGTAGCACATTTAAGGTTAAGCAACAGATCCATTAAGATTGAATACTAATACGTGAAAAGGCGATCATTAGGATCAAAAGTTATTAAGGATGTTCGCATTTTTTTCTAACTATCTTTTTTCATTTAAGGTTGAATGTAGTTGAAGCTGAACATAGTTTCAAGTGATCAAATACAAAAATTAAATACCTTTACAATCTGTATGAAATTGGTACTTAATAACCTGATCAGGACCGACGAAAGGAGAAAAAAGTGCTTTCCCAGGCCCCCATGCTCCAAGAGTTTACGTACGCAGGTGGCAAAGCGATTTTCCCTGCTAAGTCAAGCTTGATTCAAAAATTCGTATTAAATCATTATTGTAATTAAGTACACTGAATTTTATAGCATATTATCATTAATAGTACCCGAATATACTGAAATGAAATGTTTGCAATAGTGAGAAAAAAAACAATTTCAAAACTGACTTAAAACATGCAAAATATTTTATAGTAAACCCCAAACTACAAGTCTATATCCACATAATCGGAAAAGCTTTTCACCCTTTTCCCACTCCGTCAAAATGTAGACAGTAGTGCAGCGCAGTAGTTACGTGCCCAAAACCCTCTAGAAAGAGTCGAACACTCACAGTTATTACACGTTTAAATAATCCGAATGGGAAAAAAAAGCAAACTCGGAATGGAAAAACACATTGAAATCCAATCCTCTATGAAACATTATTATAAATTATAACGTATTTAAACCGCCATCTAGTGTCGTTTAAAAATTGAGATAAAGCCTTCCAAATTGAAATTACGTCCGTCTAAGTCTGGGCTGCTGGTGTCAGAAAGGCTCATCTCATGTGATACCGTAGGCCGTGAAGGAAGACGCATATGTTAACGTATGTGTGATTAAGGTTCTGAACGGGTTAAGGTTTCAGGAACATTATAAGAATGTTAAATAAATGATGATAAATATATTTTTGAGGACTTACTCATCTGTATAATTTATATATTTCATACTTTCAGTTTCATTATCAAATACGAGGGTGTGAATTGCTTTCACGGTCTTGAAGTAGTTTTCATTCAGTTTACTTGATGCAACAGTATAACTGTAAACGGTCTCTCTGAAACAAAGCAAACGCAATAATCAATGAAATTTATAACAGGAAAAATTATTGTTTAGAAATATTAACAGAAAGAAGCCTTCTGTTGCAGGTGATATAGCTTTAAAATATATCTGATGGTGGGGAAGCCAACTATCTTCAGCATTGTTCGGAGTTCTTTGTACTTATTTTCCGGAAAACACGTTTTAAATGCACGTATTAGTACGTTGCCAGTTCCAATTATTTGTGAAAGTGGAAAATCTTTTTTAGTAGATTAATTTACTCTCGATAGAACAAGAGTCCCTACAATCAATTCCTGTAGTAACCATATTGAATCAGTATTTCCATTCGATGATCTATGAATTAGGCTTTGGAATCGTAAATAGTGTAGTGCTCAAAATATTTATGTAGTTATATTAGTATGCAGNCAGGCTAGAGGTGGGTCAACACCTTATTGAACTTGTTACTGTAACTCTGCAATAAACTATTCAATTGCTCTGAAATTTTAATCATTTACTATTCTGTACATTGTCTTCCTATCCACCAATTTTCGTTTCAATCGGACAACTCCTTCTTGGTGCGTCGATTGTTTTGTTATAGAGTGTATTTATGAAAAATTTACACTCCTGTATTTCATTCCTACATAAATATAACAATTTTGTTTATTGATCGCTGATATTCCCCTTATGTATCAAAAACTCCAAATAGAAAATTCCGAACTAAGGAAGTAACGATGAATAAATATTGGTGCGTTTATATTTACTTTTATAGAGTAAAAACTTCATTAAGATCAAGTCATTTTTTTAACAAATGCGTTAATAGAGGACAAAATAATTTCGCCCCTATCACACGTAATATTTCCCGTTACATAATAATATAAAAGTAAAAGTAATTTTAAAAGAACTTTCACCTGCACGGAGGTATACATTTACAAGAGCTACTATGTCTTTCAATATCTTCTGATGATTTGATCGCGCAATTTCCTGAAAAGTAAACAAAATAAATCAATAACTCTTATTTATATGAACTTACACCGATAGCTTTAAATTATGGAACTGCACACATTATTTAGCTTTTCAATATTTAAAGAATAAAACTATTTAAAATGTTTATTAACATCAATGCAAATACTATCGATCCGAAACCGAACGTTTTTGCGGATTTTTCTATTTATTTCTTTTGCTGACATGCTAAATAAAGTGATTCTAAATAATTGGAAAATTTTGTAATTATTGGAAAGTCTTACATAACTTAAGGTCAGAGTCAACTTGTCTTGAAATGGATTTAATAGTTAAAACAAGCTCTTCCGAGTTAAGATTTTTTTTTATTTTAATTAATTAATTAAACAAAAGCAATTACTAAAAACTAATTAAAAAGTAACTAATAAGGAATCGAATAAAAGAAATTATACTTGCCACTATGCAGTATTTTGTTCAATAATGTATATAGTTAGCAAAACTTTCATGTAATATTATGAGGTCTAACATCTCCTGCTTTTTCAGATTGCTTCACTCGATCTCCAGACATTTTTAGTCAAGTAATTTTGATTAAGTAATACGTTCGTACCTTCATCAAAGCAAAATTGTTTGACATTTCGGCAGTTATCAACATCTTATTTCTTTTAAGTTATTGAGAGCAGTAAAAAAACATAATGAGTTCAAAAAGTTATAGAAATTTTTGTTGTATATATAAAAAAAAAGGACGAGTTGGAATTAAAATAATTTTTTTGCTTCAAACTAACTAATTACAATGATAAAGTTGCGTTTTTTTTATTCGCTTCATTTCAACAAAAGTGTTTTAATCAAAACGCGATTGTATGAATTCTTGTTAGTGTTTTGAATTTATTTTCTTATACAGTACATTATATATTTTCTAATCAATTCCATATATTTCATCTTAGATTTTAGTTCCTTAATTCATAAAAAGCGTAATTAACATATTTTTATTTACTCTTCTATTGTATGATAAATTCTTTTATAAATAGAGAAAAGAAAAAGTTTACTCCGATAAATTACCGTAAATCATTCATGTAGTAATAATACGCAATAACGCGTAACCGTATTTACTCTTCTGTTAGTTTAAAATAAATAATGGAGCATGTCAATAATATAAATATATATTTGGTGAGATAAATATTTAAATTAACTCTTAATATACTTTACAAAACGATCTTAATTAACACACACTGTCTTTAAATAAAACATCTAGGTATTTTACAGAATTCGAATAAAACAAATAACCAAATGATTGCAAGGAATTTTATATTATATTAAGAATAATAAAAGCTAACGATAAATTCATCATCTAAAATCAATAATTAATTTTTTTCACAGTGGGGAGCTGAAACCATTTGGGCAGAGAGTGTTGTCATTTTGCGTACTTAGAAAATAACGCGTCGCCTTTTTATATGCTCTAGCATTGGAATGGGAGCATTTTACATGTTATCTGTGCTGTGTGCATTATAAAAATTATTTACTTACTTTCTGTGGAGTTGTTAAAATCACACAATTTAAAGGGAAGTCGCTTTCTGGTAAAAATTGATCCGTGCAGAAGGTGTCTCATAGTGCAGTTGCAAAGACGCATCATATACTCCAAACCACATCTCTTTTCACATCCCTGTTAGATTTTTAAAAAAATAATTCAAAATTAATTCAATGTAACATTTTACATTAGAAAATATCTTAAATTATGCATCACTGAACCTTTCTAAACAAATTTTCTCTTGATCGATTCTGATCCATACAATGTTTTAACTTGATTAGGTGGTCAGAATAATTTTCTCTCAAAATTGCATTAGATTTGTTAATTGCAACTTTAGTTTAATTTCAGGATATAAATTTGAATAAATTCGCAATTCTATTTGGGTTTTTATAATTGATAAGCATTTATGTTGCATTGAAATAGTAAAGCCTATAGATATGTGCTTTGAAATACGCAATCTATAGACCAAAACCATCTAAATATGCAAAGAACGTACACCGAAGAGCCATTACATTATGACCACCCTGGTAATAACATGTAGGACTACCTTTAGCCCTCAAAACTGCTAGCACCCGCCGTGGCATTGATTCCACAAGGTGGTAATAGGTAGTCTGAGGTATCTGATACCAAGCACTCACCAACTTTTCCTGCAATTCCCTCACATTGTTACGGGGGTAGCGTGGCAGCACGAATGCTCTATTGGATTAAGGTCAGGTGAATTTGGGGGCCAAGACATGACATGAAAGTCACTGGAATGTCCCTCGGACCAATCCATGACGATTCGACTCTTATGACATGGTGCATTATCCTGTTGGTAAACACCATCCCCCACAGGAAAAACTGTTGCCATGAATGGGAGAACTTGGTCTGCAACTATGTTCAAGTAGCTTACAGACGTCAGGGATTGTTCTATGAGGATTATGGGTCCTAATGTACCACATGAAAACATTGCTCCTGGGAGATCCCATTGTTATAGATGGAGGGTGGTCATAAGTAATGGCTCTTCGGTGTATGTTACATTGAAATAGTAAAACTTATAGATATGTGCGTTAAAATACGCAATCTGTAGACCAAAACCATCTAAATATACGAAATACATCTATAGTTTTGTTAATTATGAAGTAAAAATAGCATGAAGATAAAAATGTTTTATTAATTACCTGAAAGTTTAAATTTAAGATCGATACTTTGATAGAAAAAAGTCATTCCTGATATTAAATATCATTACTACAGAAATTGATTATATTTACCAAAATCGAGTATGGTTCCTCATTCTGTGAGCCATTCACGTTTTCTTCACATTCACCCCAAGGGCTTCCTAACCGTTGTATCTTGGACATAGACAATTCCACTGCTGTCATATCATGTGGCCGGACATTTACACCGAATTCAGATACAAATGGCAAGGCACGGGGATCATGCACAACGATTCTGGCACCGATCTCACGTCGCAAGAGATCTAAAACAGTGCTATCCTCAACTCGGAGTATAAGTTGAAGACCTGAAATTGATTTCGTTTAAAAGTCACATCATAAATTTTTTTTTTAAAAAGTCAAATCATAACGTTTCAAACTCAAATCACAACACTTTGTTAGTTTTATAAAGCACTGAATGTTACTACTCTGTGCTTTTGTTACTACTAATTAAAAACGGCGAAAAGGAGCGACAACGAACGTTATCTATGTAAACCAAGGGAATTTTTCATTCAAAAAGTTACTTATATCAACAGTTCAACGCCTAACAGTTCAATGGAAGATGGTACCCCCACATCGAAAATTGTTTAGGTTCATAAGTAGGTATTCCATCATATCAAAAAAGGGTGATGTTATGTTGTTTAGTCGAGGATTGGACGAAATCGGGTGATCGAATAAAAATGGAACGGGGCATTTTTGACTAAACTACAGCCGCCCCTTATAAGACATCACGTGAACTTATAGCTCACAATCGCCGTTTCATTTAGAGATGAATAAAAGATGGACTTAGCTATTTATTTGACAACGACAATGCTTGAAAAAAAAATGATTATAAAAGTTTTGATTTGTGTTTCATCACCAATTTTACTCCGTAGTTTCTAATTTTTTAATACTTATTTTTTGATAAAATCGACATCTCATAACATTTATTTGAGTTATTTGCTATAAATTATTAAAATAAGGTTTGCATCACGTTCAAAATATTTTAGGTCTTCTCTTCTGTTAAATGGCGATACTTTGCCAATGGGATAAAATCGAATGGAACGAAAGAATATAAGGTATATGTTAGATGAAATCAAAATTCCTGAAAGGTTGGATACAATTTTGAACAGTAATGAATGGTTACTTAATGGTTACTTAATGGAAACTTAAGCAATGCATAGAAGCATGAACAAAGTTTCATTTGGAATCTGAGTTGTTTAGTTCGGCTAAATTTACTTAATATACGCATATTAAGTTACGGTATTCGTCGGTTAGCAGGGTAGAAGACTAATGTCACCAAAAACATTTCTTCCTTCGCCAACTATTTTTTATTTCATTTCATTTGTAACTTGAAAAACTTGCCTTAACTTGAAAAAAACGCATATCCAATATTATTATACTTGTAGTGTTTACAATATAACGCGTTCCTTCAATCTAACTTTTAACGAAACAAAGAACAAATAAATTCGGAAGACTCCGCAAGCTGGCTATGATGCAACCCAAAAAATGGCCAACGGTGCCATTTAACACAAATATAGCTAAAAAAGGGATAATACTCAAAACATGACTTATCTTACACTTTATTTATGCTATAATATTATTTTCCTTAATTTTTTTTTAGGCTCACGACTTGTTACAATTTATAAATTGCGAAAAACTCTTATGAATCGTAAAATTTTACGCATAAATTTAAACACAAATTACTATAATAAAACTTCCTAGAATATTAAGTCTGTTCACACTTAATAACACACCTAGTAATCATAACATAAGCGGAGAGATACACCGGAAGTTTTCAAAATTTCTTTCTGTTTTAGGAAATTTGTTCTTGTTTACATTCAGCCAACCATCCATAAAGATTTAAAAGTAGATTAAATTTATTGTTTAAGTGTGTATGAGCTGTAAGCTAAATTTGTATTGTTTTATTTTGAAATGCAAACGATGCGGATTTTAGGTTGCCATGACGATTTGATGGAACAATTTGTCTAAATTAAAGCATCATGTTCTCACTTCTATTTTACGTTTAATTTTTTACTTGTGATTATGTCTGTCGATTTTTTTGAAAAACGAAAAACTAAAAGATTATTTAATTAGTAGTGATATTTCGGAAGAAGATGCTATTTTACTTTTGGGTAAGTAAATAACTTTTGCCATTCTTATTTTTAAAATGCTATTATTTAGAAGATGTTAGACACACTTTCCATTTAAATCAGCTGTTTTTCAGCTTTGTTAAATAAAATACTAGTCATTTAAATTATTTTTCAAGATTTCAAATTATTTAACTTGAAAGTGTATCAACAAGTATCAAGCAAGTTTTCAACAAAGTGTATCTACAAATATCAAGCAAGTACCGATAGGACCGATTTACCTTTTGACAACTTATTCTTGATTACCTTAGGTAACTTTGTTTAAATCATACTGTAATATTTAAAAAACCGTATTCAAAACAAGGGAAAAAATTTAAATTTTATTTTTTTTTTAATTAATTTTTTTCTGCTTTATTTGTTTTCTACGTCATCCACAATATATCAAAAAAATTTAAAAAATTGCTACATTCTTGCCATGTAATTTTTAAAATATTCCCGCAAAATTTATGGAAACCTAATTAAAATACAAACAAAAGAAGTTTTTTGTATTCGGAATTTTTTTGCAGAAATCAGAAATGAGAAATTTATGAAAAAAGGTATATGAATAAATATTAATATTCAAATTTTTTTCCGTAATTCAGAAAAATTGCTGAAATAGTAATAGAGAAGAAATTTAATAGAAAGAGTAGTAGTAATAGAGAGAATAGAATTCGGTAACAAGCAATTAATATACAGCATTGATAAAATAAATACAGTGAAACCTCTCGGGTGCGACCACACTCTCTTCCACAATAAAATGGTCGTTAATGGAGTTTGGTCGTTCCTAGGGGTTTGCCTTCGTTGACTTCAAAATGATATCGAAGGTACATCATTTTTCTCAAGCAATTTTAATTTTAGTCAGTTTCATTTTCTTGGTGCGAAAATGCCACTTGCGCTATCTTCATGAAAATGGGATCAATGAATGAAATCTAATGCCAATAAAAATGAACTTAATTGATATAATTATGTGTAAAAATAAACTTATCAATTATTAATGATAGAACTATTTTAAATAAATAAACAGTTATGTTTTCTTGATTAAGTTTGCATTTAATAATATATCATAAAAATTAGTTAACTTTAAAAAATAAGAAGAGGTTTGCTTGTTTGAGATGATTAGTTTTTCTAAAAAAAAATTTTTCTAATTTAACTTTTCAACTCTAAAAATAAATCATTGACAGCATCCTCTTTATTGCACTCTGATTTTTGTTGATCAATTTCAGAGACCGTCTAAAAAAAAACAAAAACAAAAAACTCATTAAATAAGAGTCACTCACAAATAATTTGAATATATTTAAATCTACTTATTTGTTTTGTTAATATCTTTTGCTTTGATATTTTTTCGTGTTTCCATATTTGACCTCTTCCCCATTTGGTGCAAACGTTTGCCCGGTCGCTGGAGGAGGTTTTGATATTTTCTCCTAAAGATTTTTTTCTACACAATGTCTATGGAAAAAATTCCATGCCATTCAAAAGTGGTCGCATTGCAAAGGTCGTCTTTCCTAGAGGTTTCACTGTATTTCTTTGTCGTTATGTATGTTTTACTTTAAAATTATTAACTAGATTTTTGACTTCTGCTAACTCATTAGTACACTGGTTAAAATTATCTGCTTAAATTGTATATCGGGTATTAAAGTGTGGAATAGGGTGCACCTTGATTTGGCGATAAATCTCGTTTGCTTTTGCTGATACCATGTTTCTAGTTACCATAATATTCTTTGCTATCTTTGCTTTCAGTGACACCACCTTTGTATTACTTCAACTTTTGTTTACCGTTATGTGATTGATTTATTTTCATATATATTGGCTTATTTTAAAATCTCCGAATTTAAGAGGGGCCAGTTAAAAGCGATGAACTAGATCATCAATTAAAAGCGATGAACTAGATCATTTATTTGAAAACGATAATAGATTAAAAAGCGATAACCATTGATCTAGTTACGCAACTGATGTTTTTTCTGTTTTGTTCTTTGGTATGATGTTCCTTTTTGTTTTGCTTGCTATGTTTAAAGTAATTAAAATATGTTAAGTTTTTTAACGTTGTTATTGACAGATTTTTAAAAATAGAGTTGTGTTTTAATAACTTCTAGTTCGTGCTTTAACAGGATCCCCAATAGTAAACTATTACTTGAATTTGCATTCAGATTTAAGGAAGGACTACTTACCACTAGTACTGCCATATCGCATTGCTTCTATCGGTTTTTCTGATTCATGAAATTCTCTCCCTACATAGTTAAACATATAGCACTTTCCATAGTTAGGATGAAATAACACAGAAAAGTTTCTAGAATGATATTTGAAATATATAAATGAAAAACAAATCACCAAATAGTGCTTCATATACAATCTAAATAAATTTCAAGAAGCAATACTAGAGTTTTATGATTAATATAAAATGTAATAAAATAAAGAATTTGTGTATGTTTGTTTGCAGACCGGATATTGAATAACCGAACTTGCAAAAAATACGACATTCAACGTGAAGCTAAATGTGCACAACAGTAAACAAATTACAAAGCCCGATTTTAGTAATTTATATTTTTAATTTAAAAACGTTTTTAAAAAATAAATTTTTTCATTTGTTTGGTTAGTACCATTGCTTTAAACTATGATTGAGTTAAGTCAAATATTTTAAAAATAACATCAGTGATGTTTCCTAACTTATAGCTCCATTCAAAAAAGTTGTTTATTGCGCGTCCCATAAATTATCTTTTATTCACTATTCCAGGTTATCTGAATGATCAATATCATCATTGTAGCAAAGGCGGACTATGACCAAATCGGTATCTCAGAGGTCACCTGAAACTCCGGGTTCATTTTATTTATAGTTTAACTTAACGTATTTTGATAAAACTGTATAATTTAAAATCAATAGTAATTCAAAAAAAGATATTTTGTACTGAAAATCAAAATTGTCGAAGAAATTGTACTAATTCATTAAGGATAAACATTGAAAAGTGCTATTATTATTGACATCGATGATAATTCATTCTAGGTAATAGTTACTAATTGAAGTAAAATAATAGGTTATGTACTGAAAGGCAAAATTAATGGAGAAGTGGTGCTAATTCATTTAAGAGCGCGCAAAAAATCAACAAGCAATTAATGACATCATTGATATTTAATTAATTCTGCTAACAGGTACTAATTGAAATAAAAAAAAGGAAGCTGTGTATTAAAAAGCAAAATTAATGGAGAAAATGCACTTATTTGTGATGAAAAACTGTGAAAAGTCGCCTTACTATTATTGACACCAATGAAGCTTCACTTTGGTAGTAAGCACTAATGGCATTATAGAAATTGATGCAGTTTAAATATGTGCCAAATATACTCTTTAGTAGGTAAAAGGTATTTTATGAGTAAATTTGGTGTCTTTTACAGTTGTATCAACACGGTACACTAGGAGGCTTCCCCCCCATGCTCGCTGGCGCTCGCCAACCCCCGGAACTGCTTTCGCAGTTCATTTCGGATTGCTTCGCAATCCGATGCTCGCTTTGCTCGCTCATTGGATACGTTCTTAACATCTAGCTTTTGTATACTTTTTTAAACACTGAAGTTCCGAAAACTTTTCACAGTAGAAAATGCTAAACCTGTGCATTTCAATATTAATTTGAAATTGCAAACAGTTCACATATTTTTCTTAATCACACTATTCCAAATTTCAGTTGTTGAGAAAAGTAACTGTTGTATGTTTTGTTTTCAAGTCTTTCCCAGCAGAGGGCTAAAACCATGTGTTGTAAAACAATATGAAATAGTACTGAATGCCGGATGTAAAGCATCGGCTTCGATGAAGATAATTTTGTGAGAATTTTTT